GAAAGGGTTCTCATCCATCGGTGAACCATCCTCGGTTCTCATCCATCGTTAAATCAAATCGGAGTCGGATTTCCTTTCCTACTTTCGTGATGCGGGATACTTCCAGCATCGTGATACTTTATATTTTGTAATGCGGAGCAATCTTCCATTCTTGTTTGCTAGTGCCTAAGTTTCTGCCACGTTCATTAGGGCAAAAAGAACAGCGGACTCTAACGAGAGAGAACTTTCAATGTCGTTCGTTTCTTCCTGTTAAACTCCGGACTCCTGTCATTTACTACGTTGAATTTTCGATTCTACACATTCAGAGGTACTCATTCTGCTGAGCGTGGTTGGAGCATAGTGCTAACAATTACCAAGCACACAACTCAAACACAACTTTATTAAGCGAAATCAAAAATACTAGACCTATGTATTTTTACCCTCCCAATCATTGCTTATCATACAGATTTTTAAAGTTTAGAAAGCAAGGTATTCTTTAAGTATTTTTGTTTAGCTCGTGGTAGGTGGCTATTTTTCCGCAGTAGTTGTCGAAGTCTCTGAAAAAGTGGCAGTCGAGTAACAAAAATTCGAAAATCATGATGGAGGAGGCAGAATCTCCTTCTCAAACTCTCTACTTCTATGGCGTAGTTGTTCAATGTGTGAGCTTCGTGCTACCACACAAGTTGATTTCTTTAAACGGTAACGGATACACACACTGCAATTTCTGACGCACCAACGATTTGCTTTCCACTCTTTCACTGCCACGATCGAATCAGTCATGATTCAGCAAGTTAGGTCCAGCGCCAACGCTTAGGACAGCATAGAATAGAAAAATGTCTGCCATAATATTTTGGTGCAAATTTGGTTTTGAAATATCTTAGGAAACTCTCCTCTACCCAACCATTGTGCCGAACTTCATCGGTTGACATACATAATCAACTTTTCATCGAAACACATAACGCGATCAAGAAATAAGGCGTTTTTGTCGCATGAAAAAGTGCGGAGTAGTCGCGAAGGGCTTTTCTTTTCGTCACATCCATTTCAGTCCTACCTACGAGCCAATTTAAATTTTCAACGCTTTTAAGTGATGAAAGATTGCTGAATGGCCGATGTTGAGATGTTTCTCAAACTTCGAGAAGTTTCTGGAGATTCAATTTCGATTATTGTCTACATATGGTCGTCAATTGCTAATGAACAAACAGGGGGCTCTTCCTTGTGAAGACTCATATCCCTTGACCAAATTTTTTTTGAACAATATGGATACGATGCATCTGGAAGCACTTTTCCGCCTCAGAATTTGGTGACATTTCGAAGTGCTTCTGCTAAGTCATGTCAGCAAATGAACTCGTGAAACCAAGGGATAGAGAGGTGATAGATAAGACTTTCAGTGGCTTACCAATCACTGATTGAATTTATGAAAATAAAGGACAAAGTGATGGGTTCAGTTTTCAACTTCATTGAGCATTGCAGGAGTGGTTGGATGCATATTTGGCCTATGCAATGAGTTTTGGAGCCTACCACTATGCAGAGTCACGGTTTTTGTCCTTCTAGAGAAAGTTGGCACAAATTTATTAAGCCGAGGAAGATGGAGAATTTGGTGGGAATGCAAGATTGAGACAACCACCATGTATGCATTACACCCTAACCATTTTTTCACTCGCACCTGATTCCATCCTTTATCTTGAAAGAAGCGTATATTCCTTGATTATTCGCCCGATTACTTGGAGGCTCACTATCCCTCTGTAAGCATTTTTAGTCGCAAACGGCAGTAAGTCCCCTTCTCAAAATAATTTGATGATCGCCTGTGGTGATGATTTCTAAACGCTTACACAAGACTATTTCGGGATTCCAGAGAAATTAAGCTCTAACCGAGCACTGTTGATGTTGATCAAAAAAGGCAAAAGAAGATCCTCAAGTCAGAACTAAATTCTTGAAAAAATTCTACATACGTTGTTGCCGACTGTTAAGATAAAGAAACGAGTGGAGGATTTGCTAGAGACTTCATGGATTGTGAAGACTAACCGTTTAAGTAAATATATCTCCTCTGCCAAATGCTGTGCCACCAGTCACGGAGTAAAAGTAACTCGAGTGAACACCAATAAAGTAAGTTTTTCCCCGTTGCGGACTACGATCCTAATAGAGACAGGAAAGGCGTCAGACCTTCGATGCAATGCACTTCTTCCATAGTTTTTGGCGAGAACTCGTCTAATCCTGCCGTGCCACAGGTTCGTGGCTGGGCATAGGTAGGGTTTTCGAATTTCTTCCCAGTTTGTGAGACCTGCCGGAGGATATCCTCTGCTGTTTCTTCAATCAGCGATATATAACCATCATGACAGTTTAAGGACACAGTAGCCGTCACTTTCGTTTGACCACAGCGGTGAACTTCGCCGGTAAGAAAAGCACGCACTTAGGCGTAGCAAACTCTACTCTTTTCGAATTATGAGGAAGTATTGAAAAATCTTTGCATGATTTGTCAAGTTGCACGAAATTCGCGAGACTGTACACAAATTACCTACTTTCTACTCGAGGAAAAAGAAAGGGTCTCATCACGCTCGTTCAGTTTGATTGGAATGGATCTCATTGTACGGCCTGACATTGAAGAGATGCGTCAACTCTCACTTCCTGCGTGGTGTGAATGACCTAATCCTGCAATGAATTCCTCTGAATCTTCCTCAAAACGTTTACAATCAGTGGTTTTTGTTCTCCATAGATTGCCTACTGCTAATGAATGTGTTGTCATCATTGCGTAGAACCATGAAGATGCAATTTGAGATTTTATTCAGTACTTTGTTTTCATCTTACTTCTACACACAAAGTATCCAATATTCTGCCCTCAGCATAAATTTAATTCCATAGATGTTTTGCTTGATGGGTTGGGTTTTCTTCCTTACAATTATAGGATCTCTCCATATCACCGCCATGAGCATAGCCCTATCCTTATAAATCGTTGGATGGGAATTTCAGTGACACGTGACTGATCCAGATTTCCCCTTGGGAGACACATGATTCATAGCATAAATTCGTTTTTAGTTACGCTAACATAAAAGAGCGTCGAAATTTTTAAAGACATACTGACAATGAGCACTTGTTGTGTGTTACAGTTCGGCATCTCAGAACGTCTGATGACCACAGTGAGATGTTAAACTATCGAGAAATCGTCGTTTGTTAAAAATGGTAGCCACGAAACTGAGAATGAAACGCATAATTCTTCTCTCACTTTCTTCCTTCTGCTCGGTGTGTTCATGTTCAAAAAACAAATTTCTTGGCTATTGAAGTGTTCAGAGTTGCAAAACTCTCTCTTCACGTCATTCGGAGTGCTGGAAGCCGAGAGCGAGATAGGCGGATGACGCAAAACGGGTTCATCGTAGGTGTTGTGCAAACGTTGCAAAACTTGATATAATATCAGGACTGTCGTTGGCCCTGGTCCAACGATGAGATGGGCGTGACCAGGTGAGTACATTCCCACGCTGTTGCCGTCTCACCGTAGGCAGCGACGACGACGGCGACCGGCTAGGCACCGCCCACTCACCAGCGAGCACCGCCCACCTAGGCGCACACTGGTTTTTCGAGTTTTGGCCGGCCCTGTCTCACGCGCGCCGGCTGCCTCTGTGTGCTCTCTGACGTCTGCCCGATTCTCTCGACAGCTCGTCCGTCGTTCGTCCCCCGTCGCCAGACCGGACATTCAGGTAAGCCTGTTCCGTGTCGTCGCGGGCCGACGGCTGGCCGGCGCCTTACGCGCCAACAAACCTCAGCCACGAAGCCAACAGGCCGGCTCTGACTGCTCAACACCCACCCCGGACCGGCAGGCTACTAGTTGCCGACGCGGTGGCGCTTTGACCCTTTCGACCATCGCCGCTCCCACACATGCATACCAAAACGACCTGCTTATCACGTAGACAGGTTCTGCCTGCATCTAGTGCCAACAGGTTCATTTGGCTACCCTACCGCTACGAGTTGTTTCCAATCCCGAATCATGACACTCTCCCTCAGCAGGAGCTGGTTTGGAATTTGCACGCGCACTCAGACAATGTGGAACATGACCTAAGCACATAAAGTCATTAGGGCAAAAGAGCTTTCTGGAACGAAACCCACATACATGGTTCATCATCTATTCAGGCATCTAACTGAGAATTTAAACTTTGATGTATACTCTGGTCAACTTACTACTAGTTTTATTTTTGAACACTTCTATTTGCTCATAGTGCAGTCAGAATGGGCTTGTTAATGCTTTTTCTGGTTACAGAATTTTCTCTTCTAAGAGAAGCACAGTGTTATAATTCTTGTTCAGTTTTTGTAACCGCCACAAAATCTGAGTACAACGTTGTAATGATCCAGATTGCAATGAAAAAGTTAAAGCAAATTCATCAAAATGAAACCCTTCAGTGGTTCCTCCGGTGAATTTCATATAAACGTGACGATCGAATCCGGATTCCTTCGTCGAACATCACTACCTCGATAATATTTTTATACGTGTTAAGATATTTCTTTCTTTTTTTCTTGTCATTCCTTCTGAAATTTTGCATCTGATTTTAATAGGAACCTGGTGGATCAGTTTCTTTTGCTGCTAGAAACATATCACTGCACACGTTTGAGAAACAGTTCTGTCTAGAAGATTCCAGAAAATTTCGATGTCGTTCGCTTTCGGAATGTTTCGCTTTGCTTTCTGCTTACTAGTTACTTCTGAAATTGAAGCTAAACAGCTGAAAAAGTAGAGTCGTACTTAAATTCTCCAGTTGGTGATCATGTGAATCCAGTGACTTTAAACTGCCACCGATAAGGCTTGAACTTTCCGAAAGCTTAAAAGGAGGCTGATTTTTGCATTCTGAAATCTTATTTCTTTGACTTTCGCCCGAGTCGTTCTGATGCAAATCGTACTCGGAGGACGATTTTGTTCATTTTAAGGTAGACACCCATTCGATTCGCAACCACCCACCACTACTACCACCTCCACCACCAAGTAGAGTTCGGGAGCGGTTGGGTGTGGAATGAAGCTTGGCTTCGACTCGAACGTCGTCGCCAGCATGTCACAATTCCAACTTGAACAATCGTCAGTGATCAAAACTGCTCCGCCAGGCCGTCAACTTGAATTTTCACCTAAGGTATGCTCGTGGTACTTACTAGTGCTTGCAATGCCGGTTTGATTAATTCTTATATGACTGCCATAATATTGTCCTCTGTCATTCAAAGTAAACCATTTTCGGGATACATGAAGCTCTTCTCTTTTGAGAAAGTTTTTGTCAAATTGTGTTGTTCTCCTTTATGCACGTTACTCGTTGCTGGTCTCAATTTCTTGATCTATATTCCAATTTTTTAAAAATTTGGATTCTTATGACACATCAGGAGATTCATTGTGTTTGAGGGCTATCTTCTCTGGAAGTTGTCGCTTTTTGGAACATCCTGGGAGGATACGGTAACATATTTTAGAATAAAAGCAGCCACCTCAAGCTTCATTCGTTCACTCGCTCTGAGTTTTCTTCGCTCTTCTTGAAGATGCTCTCCTACTGCAATTTCATCCTCTTTGCACAATGTTCTTTTTTCTCTTATTTTTTGTTCGTTCATCGATTTGCTACAGTCTTTCTTGAAGTAACGATTAGTTTGTTCCTAATAAATTATCTTTTTTTAAGGAGTATTGAAGTGTATAGTAGAAAATTCTTCGTATAAGGATTAGATTTCCGCTCCTCCCTCACTTAATCAGGACGTCTTTTGAAGTCGCAGTTAGACAAGAAAAATAGATTATGCGTGCTAAAAAAACAAGACTATATTACATGTTATTTAGAGAAATCTCAAAAAAGAAAAACTTTTTTGAAAGTTGATTGTATCTTTTTGCAGAATGAGCCGATCGACTTGGCGCCTTTGACGCAGTCAAATCTTCAAGATCTTTCAAAAATGCAACCGATCGATCTAAACTATTACAATACAAATTACCAACGAGCATACGAGTATGCCGCAATCGGACTTGGTGGTCATAATCAGTCATCATTAATTCCGGCCCCGTCAACAGCCGGACAGCTCTATTATGGTTTTCCGAACGGTGTTGTACAACAAGATTGGGGACGACCAATGGACACCTATACGGCATATCCACGAGCCACTACGCTTCAGTACAATCCGCAAGAAGCAGCACAAACCGAACAGCGCGGTGTCTATAAGAGTGTGGACATGCCGAGTCCAGTTGATTCAGGAATTGGAGCCGATTTGTCGATGATCGCCGGCGGCACGAAAGAGGAATTTTTCCAGAGTGCTAGTGATACAATACTTGAACGATCCGCTGAACGAGCACTTAGTCATCGAGATTCACCAGTGGTTATACCAAAGTTGTAAGAATATGTTTCTTTTTTTACGGTTTTCTTTCGAAAAACAAGAAGCGAGTAGCATCAAGATTCTACCATTAATAGTATCAAAGCTGTTGTTTTTAACCTGTAAGAGTAATTGAAACTATAAGCTTGACTTGAATGAAAAGCTTCGCGAGGTGTTAAGCAACTGCTGCTCAGTGTTAAGGTTACCTTCGTTCACTGTTTCTATTAACGGAGCCTCCACCTAGTGCTTTTTTTTTGCACACCATCGGTCAAGGTTGCCATACATCTTTCGCCTTCTTACTAAAGCATTCCATCGCTCTTGTATTTGTTTCACGGAATCCACCCATATCATGTGGATATTCCTTATTGCTTTTTATTTTACGGTTCCTGAAATCCTTGACTTTTGAAAAACCACCACATTTCTTAGCCGGGTAACAGAAATGATCCGAAAACAAACTAAAAGATCAGCAATAAAACAGAATCCGAATCAGTGTACGGGCTCAGTCAACTTAGAGTAGTACTGGTTTTCTCCATTAGTCGATTGTGCTCTAACACTGGAAAAGTAGCTTGTCCGAAGGTAATAAGAATGTTTTTGTTCAAAAATAACAGCAAGAAGTTATAACCTGACATGAGAGTCGTTGCATTGATTTCACTTCAACGATACGAAGTGAGTAGAATGAATCGGAGGACGGTGATGGCGGTCGATAAACCCGAATAGACAGGCATCACCGATCTGATAACACACACGCACACCACTTGTAGTGTCGACGAATCCAGTTTTATTTCAGTCAGACTCATCCTACTAGTTATTCAGTGTACTTCTTCTTTAGGCACAATCCACTAGGTTTTCAATACGTTCTCGAAGCACCAATCTCAACATCCGTTCGTAAAGAAGACGATCGAATGACGTACGTGAATAAAGGACAATTCTACACGGTCTCTCTCGACTACATTCCTGACATCAATAAACCATTGAAGAGCGTCACTGTAAAGGTAGGCAGGCAAGTAGAGATCGATGATAAAATGAAGAGTTCGTTTGGTTGTTTGCATCGTCGTCGTGGCCTGTAACTGCGCGCTCGCTATTCTCTAACATCGTTCGACGATCCAGCGTCATACGGTAGCCTGCAGTGGTGCTAGTCGTTGGATACTGTAGCCGGCACCCGGCGCACAGAAATTGTACGCTCCACGGCGGTCGCTGTGTGCTTCCTTTTGGAACATACAACGCACATAGAAATTGGAAGGGAAGCAGGGTGAGAGAGAAAGAAAGAGAGGGAGGGAAAGAGAAGGAAAAAGATAGAGCGACAACGGGAGCCGAGAAGGCCACAACAAGCACTTTGAATAAGGGAAGGGACCGCAGGGTCGGTATGAAGGAAAAAATTTTATTCTATTGATCGATATTTGCGATCTCTGAGCGAAACACACTACACGACGCGACGAACGTTCGATTTATTGATCGATGAATTTGATCTCGTCAGAAAATCTGAGTGTGTGAAATTTTTCGTATTTGGAATGTCGATTTCCTTTTTAAAAACAAAAATACATTTAACCTACGAAAATATTGTGGAATAACCTTGCTCGTTTCTGGATCGATAGGTTCTTCACTGTTTTTCGTTGCGTTTTAATGGTGATAACAGAAAAACTTTACAATCTGTCGTACTTTTACTCGTTGAAAACAGAATAGAATGAGCACAAGCGAAAAATATGGCGCGATAACGTGAAAGAAGAAAAGGGATCGAGTTAGTGTTGTTCTTCAGAGTCAGTTGATGATCGTCTTTCGAGAAGACAAGACGTACGAGGAAGAGATCAAGACCTGGCAGTTCTGGCACAGTCGTCAACACTCGGCAAAACAACGCATTCTTGAGGTGGACAGCAAGAACAGTTCCGGTATGATCGGTCAAATCGAAGAGATCGCTCACAATGCCGTTCAGTTCTACTGGAATCCATCCGAGAACGGTGTCAAGGTAACTGAATTTTCGAATATTCGAAGAAAGTAGTGGAATAACTTAATTGAAATCTTGCACTAATCTAGACAAGTATTGAGTCATAACTTTAAGAAAAAACTCCACTTCATCGATTAGTACAATATTTCATCGACCACCCGATTTTAAGTGTGCGTTGAAGAAACTAAGGACCATTGTTATTCATTCTTACTGACTTCTTCAAACTTTATTGGTTCATCTACATATCTCTGTAACCAATCGATGGATCGATAGTTTAGTGTGAGATCCATGATGTGATCGTTTCTTGGAGTTATGTGAGATGATTTTGAAACTCTAGTCTCTCACCGATTGTTATCATCCTTGTCCGCTGAATTCTTGAAAAAGGAGGATTCCTAAGATAGATTTTTTTCACTGATAGAATGTTATAATAAAACAGAATCAATCAAGTAAGACAATAACGAATTTTTTCCGGAAAAACTATACAATTGACAGTTAGTGAGATCAGAGAAGAGTTATCGATCGTCGTTTCCTATCTTGATAGTTCCAATACTGAAATGGATAACAACGCTATGTTTGTAATTGGCTACACCCAATTCATGACTAGCACTTCAACATCGGCAAAATAGTCCTTTTGTGAAATACGCCGTAAACGGTGTCAAGGTGATGTCGGCCGGCCGCCAATGCCTTGCCGAATTGAGTGTTCTAAAATTAATTCAATTACCCTAACTTTAATCAAAACGTTCTCGACCATTCTCTGGGTAGCTGAAAAATAGTCGTAAGTGTTGTCGATTCGTATTCATCGTCGATTCCACTATCTGCAACCAACAAACAATACTCGGTACCCAGGAGGTTGTGGTTTGTAGAGGTGAAGAAAGAGAGGACATGCTGGAGAAAGCTTGGGCATAGGTAATGTAGCTAATTTGAATCGTTCAATGGATTGCCAATAACGAATAGAGTAACAACCTCTCGTTTGCTCAACAAGAAAACGGTAAATAAATCGACCCATGAAATCGCGTGAGATAAGGAGCGGCGCAGATCCTACGATACACAGCCAACCAGCAGCAGCAGAATATAGGGCTCGAGTTTACTTAAGCGGCTACGGCGACAGCTGCGGTGGCGACAGGGGCGATTGCGAATGCTGTGTGAGGACACTTCTCATTGCCTTTCGAGTAGATTTGGAGTAGCGCAGCTGGCAGTATGAATGATGGAAAAACAAAGATGATAGGCGATAGAATAATTGATAATACCGTTTGTAATATTTGTCGTCGCCTTTCGAACATGAGCGCATTTTCATAAACCAATCGATGGCCATCGATTGATTGAACTCCTCTAACTCGTCCGTCTACGTTTTCATTCGAGATTAGTGAATGATTGATGAGGATTGCGAAAGGTTTACATTAATAGTTGACAACTAGAAACCAACTTGCAGGCAGTTAGATTCATGTAGGAGTGATTTCAGTAGGCCCGAACTTTATATTTTACTCGATTTCTGTTCGTTTTTAGTCTCTTTCAAACTCTTTTCATTGATTGATTGATCGATCGATCAAATTATTCGAAATCATGCTATATTTTTGTACCACTGATCGGATTATTACTGTAGCTGAATGTTTTCATTGGTAAGCCTGCGACTAATGGAAAAGCAGAAATCATTGAAAATCTATTACGATAATGGCGACCGATCTCATTAGAGGCGAAATGACTTCTCCGTGATTCGGTCGACTTTCCTGATTCAATCAGCTCACGAATGATTTGAATTTTCTTCAAACCCTCACTTTCTTTCTCGTTGTTTTCATATTTAAACTTGTTTTGTACTCATTGCATTTAAATAAGCCTTTAAAAAGAAGGGAAAAAGAAAGAAAAAAAGGAAACGACGTCGTTACGGTCTAGTGACCAATTCACAATGGGACGGAGCACGACAGAACCAGTGGCATGGTGGTTTTTTTCCGTTAAGGTTTTCTCTTACTAAATTCTTATAATTTTGTAGAATTCCTAAATAAGGATTCCTGTATCAGTAAGGATGGCTGACTGTATAAATTTCATGGCTTGATTGTTCCGTACACATTTGAGTTCTACCTCATGTACCTCACTCAACACGATCGGTGGTCAGTCAGTCAGCAAGTTCTCGTATTGTGCGACCTCGTCACCTGTTGGAGTGTTTAAGTTTGCTCAAGCGAGTGAGACTGTGAGTGTGGAGGGACATTCCATCCATTTCATTCTTTGTTCCACTACCTCATCTCTATGTCTCTCGGTGGTCGGTGGTCTCCTTCAGCCCCTTCCCCAACGCGCCGACGATCACGCGCACCTATTGACAACCGACTGTCGTCGTTTCGGCGCGCGGCGCTCGCGCTTCGGCGATTAGTCAATCGATATCGCTCGCATTCAAGGCTATTCTCTCGTCGTCTCGTCATCACTCGGGTTTTACCGGGGTGTGGGGATGCTCACGGAATTTCATCGAGACCTGACCTTGAGATGACATCCATGCACTGACTGGGCCAAAACTAACTGTTTATCCTTTTACACAATGATGAGAACTATGACAGTTTTGTAAAATCTGCTTTGCCAATGTAATAGCACAAATATTATCCACCGCCTTCCTTCCATGGTGATAATTAGGACAGGTACAGACGTCCATGATAAAATCTTTCTAGTGATTGTGCTAGTGCACTGAACCTACCGTAATCGTGTAATCACCTCAGTCCCCGATAGAATTTTCTATTTACAAGGTGCATTCTTTCCACTTGTGTGTAAAATTTTCCCCGTATTCGTAGGCAGTAGACAACAGCAATGAGCCTATAGTATGCAAATAAAGTAAAGGACTTAATAGTTAAGATTGTTTTCTTATCAACCACTCAACTATTGTTGGGGCAATAATCACGTCGTTGTTGCAGATCAGCATCGCAACCCAATGTTTGTCGACTGACTTCTCGAATCAGAAAGGTGTTAAAGGTTTACCGCTACATGTTCAAATCGACACCTATGACGGTGACAATGATAAGCAGCCGTTTCATCGTGGTTATTGTCAAATCAAGGTGTTCTGCGATAAGGTGAGCTCTATACCAACACATATAACAACTAATTCATTTATTTCATCGATGTATTCCACGATATCACCATAAGGGAGCGTGTAGTATAGTGATTAGAGATGCACTGCAACACACATTGGTTATCGCTTCAAACCCTGCGCACCGTGAAAAACAAGCATTCCACCCTTCTTCTCGGGCTCGGCAGATTGGCAGCAGGCTTGTCTCAAACGACAAAACCGTTGACTTGCTACATCGGTAGACCATGGAAGAGTTACTATATGAGCCAAATATGCATCCGGTCATCCTAAAATGCTACGAATCCAGTCCAGTGCACGGTACATTTCGAAAGGATTCATCAACGCCGACCACTTTAGTCTTTATCCACTGTGATACTGCCTAGAGTGGAGCAGACCTTGGTTAGGCTGTCCTCGGGATCCCAAGGAACCACAATGGCTTAACCAGCAAATCTCCGAAAAATGGTGATTATGCTGGGGCCCGCACAACTAGTGAGGATGGGCCGTTCAAGTATCAAGTTAGTAAGTAAGATACTACCTATAGAGTAGTAGGTCAATGACGTGCGTGCGTTCACTATCGCGCATTACTTAAAAAACCATACAGAACAATTATACGGACTGGAAAATGGCGTCGAGTCGCTTTCCGTCGCTGCACACCATCTAAAAACGATAGGTGATTAGATGGTCGGTCGGTATGGTTGAGTGACGAGCTGACGAACGAACAAACGAACGAACAACATCGATGAAGTATTTGACGATTTCTGTTGCGATACGATATGATTGAAATTGGCGATGTCACAAATCGCGACGCGATTAAAGTATTATCTATTCATGCGAAACCCACCAATACCACCAACAACACCATCATCATCATCATCATCATGGTCATCATCATCACCATTATCATCGTTGCCACGGCTCGTTCAACTCGTTGAATTGCAAAACATTGTTGAAAAGTAATAGCAACCTCGACTATGAAAATGTCACTAAATCCGATGTTGCATAGCAGGACCAACAATGCCACGCTTCTATTCATGGCTGCTGAATCGCTCACGGATTACTGTATAGAACAGTAATTCATGATGAAGAAAACCTTCGGAACTGCGCTGGTTAAAAAATTCTTTCCAGTTCACTTACCGTTTATCATATCTTATCTGTACGAGCTTACCAGGGGACTATGATAAAAGAAAAAAATCTGCGCGGACATAAGATCTTTCACTAAAAGGGTCCCTCTTTAATCTGACTATCTATCGTTGATAAAAATTGGTAAAAGAGGGTACGAACTATAAGAAAAACAGAGGAAGAAGAAAGAAATTGGGCAAATCGCATTGGTTTTAGCGAAGAAAGAGGGTAATGGATGTCCGAAAAAAGTGGACATCATTGCTTTTTGTTTTACCCTATGATATATTCATTAGACTCTATGAAATCATTCAATCAATCACAAAATCACACTTCAACCATCACAACATAATACGTTCTCTCTCAAGGGCGCCGAACGAAAGTTGCGGGACGAAGACAAACGAAACCAAAAACGAAAACTAGCAGGTAACCACCACCATCACTAGATGATAGCTGGTCGTTCGAAGAATTTCAGCGCTCTTAAGTGATTCTATGCCATGGTTGCCAGTCCCTCAGCGTAACGTAACGTAAACGTAACATAACGTAATCGTACCGTATCGTACCGTACCGTAAATAACTGTGAATCGTGTGGTCGTGTTACATTTAAAAATAGCTAAACAAAAGGAAAATCGTGTGCTGCTGTTGATTTCACCAGAATAACAAGTACTAGACGGGAAGCCATAAGTGTATGACGTCATTCGTTGTGTTGTGATTAGTGTTGTGATTGTGTGATTTCGTTTTTGTGAATTTGTCAAGGTCGTTTCTCTACGTATTCGTCTAACCCAAGCTTCGCTTTTTTTAGGGTGCTAACCGGAAAATGCTTCATGAAAATAGACGAGACGAGAAACGACGTATTCAAGGTATATACCTAATAACTAAGTGTTCTGTGTTAGTGTATTTCATGCTATAAATGTCAGGGCGATATATGGTAGATGTAAGGATTACCTTTAAGCATGTAAACCGTAAGATTTGATGTGCATAAAGGAAACTCACTGAGATTTTACGACTATTTTGTTATATTGTATCATTACATCCGATTCTACTTTTTCCTGATCCTTTAAGGAATTTCTTTCATGCATGTCGATTCGATAGAGTAATTTGTGTCACCCACCCAGATAGAAGCTTATTCTATGTGTTTTTTTTTCATTTCCTCTACTAGTACTCTCTGGTTGACCGTATTCACCATCATTGCAGGAGCTTTATCAGGTCGAAAGAAGACGGACGGCGAATATCATGAACCGTGTGAACGATCAGAATTCTATCATATGAGGGAATTGGACAAGCCGGCAGCGCTCTTCATCGCTCCAGATGAGTACGATTCACGATATCTTGATGGCACATCCATAGGGTACGATAGCCTGTCAGACATGGAACCGGTAGCGAAACGACCGCGACCATCCGAACGAAGTGAGTCATTCATAAGTTCTCTTCCATTGTCACATTCTATTTGTTTAGTAGTACGATTAAGATGGCACTATCATCGCTCATGTCGTATCAAGAATCAACAAAAATACGATGTTAAGGAAGAATTCGTGCTCTACTTGGTAAAAAAAGAACAAGTCATGTACCATTAGTTTTCAACCTCTCAATAGTTCTCATGCAAACTCGATCGTTCTTCTCAGGGTATTAGAGCAGTTTGGCTCCTAGTACCATGACAACTAGTTTCTGCTTCATTCTAATAAAACCTACCTCGAATACTGTAAATCATAGGAAATTCATGAAAACTTGATGCAGTGATGGAAAAACTGTCCTGAACACCAGTGATTATTCTCAAAGTTCATGTGTTTAAAAGAAACTAAGACCGTTTGCTTAGAATCCTTCAACAGTAAGTTTCTATGCGACTGACTGGTCCTTCAACGACAGTTCGCTACCATTTCCGACGTGTCAACGATTATCGACATGAATCAATCGAATACACACTGTTTATTCTTAAGCTCATCATCCTCCTACAGTCAGTGCAGTGATAGTGTAACCAAAATGTTCACAGAGTATTCGTTCGCTTTATTCTTTGCACGAATTTCACCATGCTAGTTGGGAATGTGTGATTCGGGCAGATGAACAGGAATGAAACGAAGAAAAAAACAACCCCAAGAGTGGAAGTTCAGCTAAAAGACTGTGAATGGTGCAACTGTTCTCTGTTTCTTTCTATCTTAAATCGAATTCTACATTTAGTAATGCTATACGTCCGGAAACGAGACGATCAGATCTACACACCATTACACGTGATTCCACCATCATTAGATGGTTTAGCGCAAGCTGTCGCACACAAATTCGGCATCGATTCGCAAAAGGTTCGGTCTCTACCTCGATACTATCCAAATTCATTCCGTTCGCACTGTTTCGCAATGCATAAGATCTTTTCCAGATTACCGGTCTCTATAAACGATGCGCTAAAGGGGTGACGGTAAAAATGGATGATGACATGTTACGCCACTATTGTAATGAAGACACATTCATCTTGGATGTTGAACCGGCTCCAGAAGATGCTACATGTCTAGCCGCTACGCTAGTCGAAATTATGCCACCCCAGTATCAATCAAATTCCGGATAACCGTATTGTTATGGTAGTGATTATATCTCTACTTTATACGTATTCATGAAGCTTAATCATACAATGAATACGCATCAAGATTTCGTAACGATGACTGGAAATCAGAAACTCAGTTGCTGAGATTCTGAAGAACGACTTATTTCTAAACATTATGAGTATTTTATCAACCAGTACAGCTTCATGAATACGGTGAATTGTTTTACATTGTTTTTTTTTTCCTTTTTTTCTTTCCACTATTCGTGCTCTGATCTGATATAATTGATGGTAGCAGCACGATTATTCTAGTGAGCTGAATTAGCTCCAAGCCTAATCAAGTAAGTCCTGCGATTCTTAGCCTTTCTAGCCTGTCTAAGTCTTTTCCGCGTCTCCGGTTCGTTATTGCAGTTCACGCGCCGCTCGCGACAAAACTTTTGCCGCGCCACCGCGACGCATTCATCTAATTCGATATGATCTTCATAATTTCTATATAATGTATACATGAAGAATATCTACATCTCTGAATTCACTTCAGTTTGTGTTGTGATCGATTTTAATGACTAATATTGAGATCCGTTCCTAATGCACATTTATTTAGTTACAAATTATTTATATATACATAATATATAATGATGAAGTAGAATTGATCAGTTGTGATAACTGAATGATTAAGTGATGTACATAGAATGTCAAATAATTGAGTACGATTCTAGAACTGTATTTGAACGCTCGTCGTTCCAACGACTTCCACTCCAAACCATGTGATGATCAAATTATGAATGAAACGTGTTATTGTACGCCTTTTTGAACGAAAACATTTCCATGAAAAAATGTAAAGCAACATAAAGTGTTGCAACGAGACCAGTATAGGCGAGATTTATCATGCATTCAAGCGCACTGGATAGCTGTATCAGCTGAAAATGTCATTCAGAACTGAATCAGGAGATTCGAACGGTTCGAATAACGCCAGTTCCCTGACCGTTGCTTCTGGATCTGAAGCATGGGCCACGTTACGAACAGTAGAGAGAGAGTAGCGCTGCCTTAGAGTAGAGAATTCGCTTTCTTTAGGTATTGGATACAGTCGACTACCACCTAATATCCGTCTAACATCACCGTCGACGCACATCGCTATCACAGGACCACTGGAAAAGTTCAATTCTAGTTATGATTCTCTAAAACTTTAAGCTAAGCTAAGTATTACCTTACCTGGTTACATGACAGACAAGTCTCTTAAAGAAGTATTTCCCTAAATAATTGTTCTTTATAAGTAACTGCTCCCAATTCTTCAACGCCTATCTAGTCGTCATTCAAGTTCTCTGATTTTAACTTCGCACCTTGAGAAACGAGAATGTTCCAAATTTCACTGCTTCTGAAGTTATGTGTGCAAATGATGAAGTTGTTTCCCAGTTCACCTCACCTTTATGTGCTGCATAAAGCTGACTAGCAATATCGGTGGTCATTTGAAGTTTTCGAGCTCCGCCAATCACCACACCTGCGCTCAGTAACTCCCGCAGCACAACCTAGAACCTGTTACGCATCTCTTAATCTCAATATTTGTATGAATTTACGCTCAACCTTGCGTTGTGTTACAATCAGTTACACATAACTCTCACCATCGATGACTCACTGCATTACGGTACATTGCTTACAGTACCCACATTAACCAGCTGAATGGCGTTTTATGAGTGCAATCACCAGTACGTGTTCTTTGTTCATCACACCGATTGCTACGAGGTTCCGCCAAGCTAAATCTTTGCATGCATTTTCTGAATGATTTTTGCGCCGTCGGTTAAGTACCATCGTAATCCTTATAGAAGAGGCGCTGCTATTGCTGTCGGTCTCGAATAGACGAAATGAAATCCCATTGTTGTCTGCGAGCGCGGACAACGACCTGTTCGTGAGCGATGGCGCGCAAAGGCTTCTAGGAGAGGATAACACAGTCATCCGGAACTAATCTACGTATATAAGTGGTCTAGGCAACGCTTCAGATTCTTCAAACCTCCAAACTGTAAGCCACCCTTCCGAACGGCCCGGAAGACCGCACGGCGGCGTTGTTTTGCTGGGACAATGTGACCTAAATGCGAAATTGATGAGGATCGGTCGGGCGGTGCGCGGTTAGAGAATTACAGTGAATAGTGAGAAATCCAGGCCGTCGGTCTGCTCTAGCACATCCCGTAATATCCGCGAATCCCACAGCCGAATTTGGGGACTTGACAAGTAGTTAACGCAAGAAACGGATTCCATCAAGTGTGAAACAGCTTTAGGTTATTTAACTTTGTTAGAGGAAACTAACTACACGACATTAGCATCAACCAGCTATAATCTTGCGCGGTAGCGTTTCACTAAAGCGACTTTGTCGAGGACTTGTAGAAGGCAAATACTCTCCTTGTGAAATGAAAAGTCTCCGATCTTTCTGATCTCATACTAAAGAATGTCAGATGAAAAAAGTCCATGGTGTTACGTTGTAGATCAGTTTATAGATATCCAAAACCAATAATCAAAGTCCTCTTAAGAACAGGCTAAAAACGTCATATCCACGATCTGATGAAACTCCTACCTGAAGCAGAGGCGGATGAGCAACAATGTCCGGCTTAATGATCATTAGCGACCACATCTTTATCAATCTGTAAAAGATATTGAAGCTTTGAAGAAACAGCTCAGCTGAAGCGTTTTGCAGTCAAAATGCATACGAAACGAGTTTCTCAAGGAGTGCGAAAAGTGTCATTAAGACGGTCCCACTTGTGGTTGATTCAACAGCCGGTTAAAGTTTCTGCGATTCGTAATCTTAGTGATACTGTTCCAATAAGAAACGCTTTCTTCATACATTTAAACTTCTAACTTCGAAAACTTCCCATTCTTTTTCTTTCAAGAAGAACTTTCAAAAGCTTATAAATTATGCTCGCATACTAAGTCAGACCTGTTATGGTGGACGAATTTCTATGAGGTTTTATATATCCCGTATTTAATGGAAGTGGATCACTACACAATTATAACTCCGATTACCTCTGGCAGCAATTCAGAACTAATTAATGGATGTTTCCGACTAGGACCGTGTCTTTACGTGGCCCAAGCGCTGTCATGATACCCGCAACTGTGGTGATTGCAATTTCAGATCTTCAACATGCCATTGTAAAATCAGTAGGAACCCCATCGACTAAATTCATCTCATAAACTCACGCTGAAGATGACAGTTTCATAGAAATTCTGACCATTTGTGGACAAGATCTAGACGTCTAGCGTCTCGTATGTACACAGCGTCTGTTCGTGGTGTACGATTCTAGCGTTAATGGCCCGATACTCACCTAGGTGATGTGTAAATGCGTATGATTGCGACCTGAATTCGATATTACGCTCGTAAGTCCGTGCACTCGCCTTCCGTTCTATTTATTCTTGTGCTCTGATTTCGCGTCGTTGGAGTGCGCGAACCTCCCTCCTCCCTCTATGCGGACGACCAATCGACCGATCGGCTAGCCGACCAAGCGAACGAACTGAGAGAAAACGACGAAGAATTCAACCAACCGGACGCGAAGGACCGCCATGATCGCTGGAGACACGACAACCGCGACCATAACAACAACAACAAATGTGAAGTGGATCCACCAAAACCGGTATCCAAAGCTAGAATTCTAGCGCATTCGGGTAGGACACATTTGAAATACGTTCACATTACTCGAAGCACCGACTATCGACTAAATTCGGCATTAGGTACCTAACGTGATCCTAAAAACTCTCCTTTTTGACCTGGTAAGAGGTTAGCGTCATGCATTCTGAAGATTGAATAGCTGACGTTCCAGCGAATTCGCCTTCTTCAACGTCTAGCCGTAGGAACCTTCTAAACAGGCAAATATTTGGTTCAGTCTATAAATTAGATTCTTACTCAAATGAACGAGCACTCACCGAATAATGGCAATATGATTACCTAATGCGTCTAGGCTTTGAAGAAGGTAAAGTCGCCAAAACATCAGCCACCGGATTTCGATTTCGTGTCAGTTCAAGAAGGGGAATTAATAAGATCATTCGCATACGCTGTCCACTTCTGTATAGTCCTCTAGAAATTTCATTTGTTTCTCTTCATCATTCCGACATCAGATTATCCAGCATTGCAATCTTGAATGTGGTTGAGCCACACCAGTTCTCCAGAGTATTAAGAAAAACAGTAGTTATACTTGTCTGTTTTGTTCAATTCGTGAAAATATATTAAAAAATCAGGATATTCCTAATCAGCTAAGAAAACGCCAGCAGGACAGATAACTCTGAACACAGTTGAGAAATCGATCCCAGTTTTTTCAACGGAGATTTGTAAGCGAATTCTTCATACAAGAAGAACAATACTAGCTTTATCCCGAAGCGAAAACGCTAACTACACTGTTGGTGAAACAATATCAATTGAACAAAACCAATACCACAACTCAAAGTCTTCTGTTAGTCACACTTTATTTTTCAAAGCAATCTCTTCAAGCACACGATTTCACAATGAGAAGTAAGACACCTTACTCCAATAGAGTTTTGTGGGAAGAATCCGAAAAAAAAAATCCACAAATCATGTTATGAATGAAGTAAAATTAGTTAGCAACTTAATTCTTGTGTACAAGGAAACAGATTACACAATGACAACACACCTATAAACAAATGTGTGTGAAGATAAGACAAAAATTCACAAGTAGTGAATAATCCATGGCAGGGGCAAGAAGAAACCATCTGCTACCGGCACTAAGAAGTAGCTGAACAACTACATACTAATACTACTTCGAACCACTTACGTTTAGACTAATCTGATCTTCAATACGTTAACATTACGCGAATAGGTGAGCAGCAACAGAACAACAAATCACATCAAATGATTTCAAAATCGCTTCAAATATTGCAATCTACGATGAATAAATTAAATGATAAGGACAACTGAGAAGAAAAAGCACACGAACAGCAAGTTCACTGCCAAACCATCATTAATGAAAAACTAGTAAATACGGTGCACCCGCCGAGTCCGTCGATGTAGTGATCCTTAATTGTAATTCAAACGACTTTTGTAAGCTTTCAACTGCATGTCACTGTAACTCGTGATGTCAGTAAGAGGTTAATTCACCAACACCTCAATATTTACGTCTTGATACTGGAAATATGAACGAAAAAAAGCGTCACTTCTACAATAAAGTATGCGAGTTAAGGGAGCAGATTTTCATACGAGGTTCAGTGTCCGTTCATTGCCGTGGTGGTCAGCTTAAGGTAAGCCAATGACAAGCCTCAAGCAAGGGTGAAACCTTGCGTATGCTGAATAGATATGCGAAGCCGACGAAGCATCTCTTTGCTGTCGCTGATGTTCGGAAGATCGAGAAGATTGAAGCAAGTATGTGCTACAGGCAACACTTCAGGTGCTGTTGGCTGAACGTACATCTTAAGCGCAGACATTCCACCTACCGGTAAACGCGTTGAACCCATAAGGAATTGCAGGAATTGCTGAAAAAAATGACGGATAAACGACATATACGATATCATAAGACACATATTATACAATAAGTCAAATTGTCAAAAGTTTTTAGCGAGCTGCTCAAAAGTGGTGAAATAGAGAACAATGCATATCTGCGCTTAAAAAAGTGTGTCGAAGCCATGTAACTCTTAGCGAGAATCCTTTTTAAGAGTATTCGTGGACTAATACCACTAATATAAATAAAACTGTTGAAGAAGAGCATAACACAATCAAAGTTACTCGCCTCTTAGAAATAAGAAATGTGACAAAAAAGTAAAAACGAAAAAAATGAGAACGATCAAAACCAAATCTCACTTTGCGTTCATCAACACCTAACTCAAAAAATGCCTTCCAGAAAGCGAGAATAGCCGGATGATTCGCATGATATTCACCTTTGTAATGAACGATCTGAAAACGTTACTCATTTGTCGATCGACAATACCAAAACTGAACTAGAATTCTAGGTCTCAACCACGGTTAACCCTATTCGACGCTAAGATTAACGTCATGATTTCTAGGACGACGAAACCTGGTGCCAAATGGGCCACATATTTTATTAAACCTCCTCTATTTATTACAGCCGCAATTAAGATCGCAACAAATAGGATTCTATTGATTCATTTTACTTCTACCAGTGCTAACTAAGCCATGAGTACAAACTTATATCCCCACATTCGGTTTGCAAATTTTCGCTGTTTCGTTCCCCTTTACTCAAAAAGAGGATTAACCGATACTATTGCGTGGGTATGCTCCAAAAACAACACGGTTCTACTCACAAAAACTATGGAAAATAAATTTTGTCCACTTCAGCTTGCTCTAACACTTTCACCCGAAAACGCAGATAAAGGTAATCCTATATCAACCATATCAGAGTTCTAAATGAAGAAAAACAAAAAGAACAAACGCCTTCACACAAAAATATGGTGCTACCGCGTTTTCCGAGGTTATAAAACAGTTCTGATACGTAAAACGGTCGAGCAAAGCACTTCTAGTTGTTTGATCAAGTTACTCGATGATGAACAATACAGGTGAAGGAAGGAATAGGTGAAACTAATCGATCGGACAAAAAGTCATAAGAGCTAATACCATCTCTCACTACAATGTAAATTTTATCGCCATCTTCAATCCACTTGTCGCAGTCAGTAGCTAGATGGAGCGAAGGCAAACATTCGCCACTCCAGCCGACAAAACGAAATAACACAAGTTCCTGGAATTTTTCGCCCAAACGATTTTCCAATCAGTTACGTGGTACTTTTTCAAACTAGACGCGATAGAATTTTGGCGGGTGGCAAAAAGTAATGCTATATCGCACGAGTGATATATTGATCTTACGACCACATCGTTACCCATGTTATCACCTCCTCTATCGTACCATGACAATGTCACTTTAAATTAAACATGTAGATCACTATACTATCCTGACTCTTCAAATCGAAAAGCTAATGATCACAACAGAAAAAAAGGGAAAACCCATTACGATAACGGTAAAAGAATGCTCCTGCATTGCGTTGATGACCACAAAAAGTGACTGAACTAATTGACTGAAGGACGTTATTCATCCTATTTTGATATCACCTAGAACAAACATCGAGGCAACAATGAAACCAACCATACATGCACATAAGTTCCATTTAAGCACATGTAAAACCGTTCTGGAGAACCTTGAAGTTATACTTTCTTTAATCGCGGATCAATTCCACTTGTAGAATAAACGTTCCGCTTCGGTGGCTATACATAAGTGTTGATGGTGATGGTGAATTGCAATGATGGGAAATTGCGCGAGAGTGCACAGTTTGGAATCGATGATTGTTTCTTCAGATACTGTAGCGTACTGTAGGAACAGAATTAGATGTGTTATGTGGAATGATCCATTGATAAAACAGAATGCCTAGCTATTCTACAGAAAAACATTCAATAAGCCCACTACTATCGAGGAAACGCGAAAAAAACCAATACAGCGAACTGAACTGCGCCAATCATCAGCAACCTTATGGAGAAGAATTCGCACTAAAAATTCAAGGGAGTGAAATACAGTTAGTTAGGCCAACACGGGGTACGAAGAACCAGCGAAGTCCACTATGAAAAACTTCACAGCATTCCGACAGATAAGCCGAACGAAAGAGTGAAAGGGAGCGAATATAGATGGTCCGACCGTGCTGTCGACCAGTTGAACACACCACTGGAGATTCCCACGCGAACCGGCGGCATTCTCACGCCGGGCACCTGTCGTCGTCATTTCCAGTTGTTCGTCGTTTCAGGTCTCGACGGGTTAAATCCAGTTCGAACGGTCCTCCGCTTGCCCTTCGCAAACCAATAGGAAGAGGAATTGTACAACGCGGTTAATTTGTCCCAGGTACTATCGTCCTTCCAACCATAGCTACATTTTCTTCTTCGTTAGTAATTTTAGATACCTCCATTTCCTTTCTATTGGTCGAAACACCTCAACAGTGTCAAGTTTTAAAGCAATGAGATATCACAGTGAAAAAATATGATATTGTTGTAAAATCCATAACTTTCATCATCTTCAATTTTTAATTGTAAATAAAACTTATGAATCAGGGATAACACAGTGGAGATTTCCATGTACAAGGAAAACCAATGAACAATCATAAAAGCTATTGCGAAGTTTTAGTGATCTTCCAAATTCATTATTTTAATAATCGTTTCAGAAAATGAATAATAGAGATCTCAAGGATTTCCGTTATTATTAACAGGTGCACTCTTCTTCTTCTTCTTCTTCATCTAGTCTTTTCCCAAAATACTCAAAATCGCGCGAAACGTTGTTTTCACTGCGCGGCCTCGTTCTATCTAAAGCAGACAGCTCTGAGCCGGTTCTTGTCCCTCGCGCAATATTTACAATTGCAATTCGGCCTGAGGACGAGAGGACACAACCATCTACTTAAAATACGAACAAGGGAACTGTCGCCTACGTTTCGAATTCATATGGATTCAGATACGAATCGTCAAGGTTATTGCACGGTGATTAGAAGAGTCAAAGAGAACTAGGCCGCATGGAAAGGCTCGTAAAGCGGGATTCCCTCCTGATAACAGCCGTGATCTAAAGAGAAAAAGCTGGTAGATGGTATAATCTAGTTTCCTCACAGATAAATCTTCTTTATGGGGTAATTTCGCCAGCAATGAAAAAGAAACGCGGCCAAATAATTACAGTCACGTCGTACAGTCAACTCGTCAACTCCACAGCTTAATTCTCACTGTGGATGTGGTCACACAGCACAGCAATTGCCTATATTTTATTCGAACGTTGGAGAACCATTATACACAGAATTCAGGTTTATTTGAAAATGATCGCTTTACGCTCTGATTTCTAATTCACCAATGGCACATATGCTCTATATCAAAGAGTTTTACGTAACTACACGATTTCTTACAGTTCGATCCCCGGAAAGTGGCCTTCTAACCTGGAACTTTCTCATTTTCCTTTCTAATAACACTAAAAACAAGTAGTAGACGCACAAAGACAACAGAGTATTCAAAATTTAGGCCACCTTCGACATTGAACTACAAAATGGGTGCAATTTCCTGTACGTACACGAGAATTCGTCAAGAGCAACAGTAAAAAATCCGGCGGCCGACTTTCTGCTAACCTCGGAATTGGCCAATAATTCATTGATTTTTTGATAAACACACATAAAGTTGTTATTGTACCCTTTATTCATAAGAAATGCCGTTTCGCCATCTTCACAGCTTGGAAATGTCATGTTGACTGTAATTTAACCAGACAAATACCTACATATCTTGAACGGAAAGATAAAGAAACCTAGATTTCAATCTCCTTGGAAACAAAACAGCTTTTTCGCACAACCCGATTTCCACGACCCTTTCACTGAGTGTTCCACCCTGAGATCAATCGCACGGAGTACATCACATAGATGGGCAATGCACCTCTCTCACATCAAAAAACACGTCTTAAATACTGCTCAGTAACACGCGTGATTATGAGGTACTCTTCCTTGTGGTTCATTTTCGGATTCCTGGAATTAATTCAGAATGCCTCGAGAATTTTGCGCGCTTGTGTTTTCGACTCCTGTGCGAGGATGATACCTTCTACTTTGAAATCTTCCCGTTATGTCTCTAGTCCTATGCACGCCGAGTGGAGTTCATGGTGCAACATTAAGTTTACCGACTAGGTGTTGTTTTATAATGACCAAGAGTGGTCTACCCATTTCGCTAATGTATTCATAACGCTTTACAAGAAATCAGATAAACCGTACCCGACTCGTGCAATAACCGTCTTTACAGTCGGGGCATATTATGCAATTTCGCGTTGTGCATAGACGGTCATACAGGGGGTTACGAACTAGCCGGTATCTTCGAGTGTCCGATAGTACTTCAATCCCTGCTAAAGAGTTCTCTAAACCCGCTCTTTTTAAGAAACTTATTTTCATTTTTTCACACAAGATCACGAGAATCCATTAGTGCAACAGATTTTCAAAATTGTATAGAACGAAATGTTACATTTTAATGTGGTCCAAATAAGTGTAACTGCTACACCAATGACCACCCGTTCAGTCCGAAGCCAAAGCAAATTTCAATGTCCCAACGACTTCAGAACGAATTACGACGAAACGATAACTGTAGTCATTTCAGAACGCAGGTAACAACACGTAGTTCTTTACAGCAATTATTTGAGTTGTTCATGCCCACCACAAATAACACACACCCACTCTATTCGTTGAAGTTGATGGACGCAACAACAGTAACAATTTGCCGCCGTCTGGCATCGGTTTACAGTTTAACACCACTCACAGGCACACCTATCACATTAAACTGCGAAGACGAAGACAATCAAATGGAAAAAAAAAGCTATTTCCCTTCAGTAGTCGCCTTCACCACCGACACTGTTGACAAAAAGACACGTCCATATATAACCACAACAGATTTTACAGCAGTTTACACCCTTATGAGCTATATAAATGCAAATTGTAAAACCTTATAAAAACTTGCTTCAATAAAAAAAAAGAATTGGATAAAAAATTACTGGAAGAAGGACACTATCGACGACCAAGAACAACTGAATTCCGTACAAGGTAGCTACCCTTTTCTGCAATCTGCTAATCTATGGTATTATTCTCCGCAAATTTCAAGATTCTAAATACGATGGTAATACGAAAAACAACTTTTTTTTAACAAACTGATAATGCTTAGCTGAATCACTAAATAAAAGTTATCCTTCTAAAAATGTGCCTGTCGTGGAGTATACAAGAAATTATGACTACAATACATACAGAGAAGCAGAAGAACAAGACATTCAACCAGTGAGAAAATCACGTCAAACAAGTGACATAAAGTGAACCAGACTAAGGCACGACACCAAACTAACCAACCAAGCCACCAAAAACATAGATAAACCGACCTTGCGCAATTCCGACCAGTCGTAGTTTTCATTGCCAACAACTAGTTCCATAAGTTCTCGTGGCTGAAAGAAGGCAATGATACGACTATTCAGCACCATCTTGAACCCATCACGGAACGCTGCTGCTTGCCGTTCGACTTCACCATTACGCCCGATACATAGGCGATGATGAACGTAAAGCTGAAGAATAGAATAAATCACACGTATTAAAACTGTTGTACTAATTAATTTTTCTATAGGCATATAGGGCGCGCGTGGCGCGGTGGTTGGAGGCGCCGCTGTGACACATACATGGGATCGATCGCCACCCCTGGCTCACCAGGCCTTCCATCCCTCCAGGGTTGGCAAATTGGTACCAGACTTGTCTGGGAGGATAGCCGCAGTGGCTCGATACATTGGTAGGCCATTGCGAGTCATTGTAAAGGCCACGGATGCATTTAGTCTCCTCCAACGATACTTAATAAAATTGAATACATGGCGCATCCCTCAGATATTGATCAACACCGAGCTTTATTCTTTTATTCTTTATTATCGGCATCGCACAGTTCTTATGACAAACGCTTTTAAATTTTTTCTTGTATAGCCTAAAAAATAAAGGATAAAGCTCTCGGTGTTTATCAACCCCTGAGGGATGCGCCATGCATTCGACTTCATCAAGTATCGTTGGAAGTGAGTGAATGCATATTTGGCCTTTACAATGACTTGCGGTGGTCTATCGATGTATCAAGCCACTGCTGCTATCCTCACAGACAAGTCTGGTACCAATTTGTCGACCGAGGAGTGATGGAAAGTTTGGTGGGCTATAGGCGCGGAGATCGATTCCACGTGTGTGTCGCAGTGGCGGCTCCACTACTCTTTCTTAGGAGCGCGTATGGCGCAGTGGTTGGAGGATTCACTAAGTCTTCCATCCATACGGTGTCGGCAAATTGGTACTAGAATTGTCTGGGAGGATAGCAACACTGGCTCGATACATCAGTAGGCCAACGAGAGTCATTGCAAAGGCCAGATATGCATTCAACCGCCTCCAACGATACTTAATGAGGTCGAATGCATGGCGCATCCCTCAAGGATTGATCAACGCCGGGAGCTTTGTCTTTTATTATTAGAGCTTAAAACCAACTTTCGGAGAATTGCTGCTTAAACCATTGTGGTTGCCTGGAATACCAAGGTTAGCCTGGCCTCAGGTCTTCACCAACACAGGCGGTCGCAGCCCTTGTAGAACACAGGGAGATTTACCATACGACTTTGATACCAAAACGGTGGTGGATCCTGGTAATGGTTTACTCTTAGCTAGGCTTCCTGATGGAAATTCCGGACTTATTCTCAGTTTAGGAGAGTCTGCCGTGGGGACGAATCCCTCGCTGTATATCGCAGCCCGACACTCAGGAACACCTTTCAACCACAATGAGGCGGTAAACCGTTGCGAGGATGCATCATAAGCATCATTCGCAAGCAGAAGAGGGACCACAGTCTTTTCTACAATCCATTTGTGTTCACAACCCATAAAGAGCCCTCGTTATTGAGAAATTTATTTTCAAAAAAGCAGCAAGCCTATAAGGCTAAAAATTCGTCGACATCCAGTCCGCAAAAAACCCGAGATTGGGCATCGTCACGAGAGTGTTAATGAATAATATTCGAATTTAACTAGATATAATGATTATTCGCACTTTAAACAAGTTTGTGGAAGCTTATAATACTAAGAATAAGGGGAGTAGAAAATGGAAAAAAACTATTTTGACATGAATTAAATATCTTTCACGAATAACGACACAGTCTTGGGAACACATAAAAAAGTTTCGTTAAACCGTGTGGAAATGAGGGTTGAAACAACTTTTGTATGCCTAGTTTTTTAATCGATTTGTTTTCATTAAGACAAAGAACTTGATAGAACACTAATCATAATACACTCCTCAATTCATGCAGAAATATTTTAGACTGATGGAGAGCAACTTGGATAAGCAGAATTAAACACAAAAAATAACTTGGAACTTACTTCCACATAGCTAGTTTTGTTGGACTGAGTGACAGGTACATTGGCTCCATCAGGTTTTAACTCCATTGTTGCCGTACTGCCGAACGCAGCGTAGGAAATCGTGAAGTTTAGACAGAAAACGTCCTAAAAATAAATATGGTTATATAAAATTTGTAGAACTACTTGGTAACTTTTCTAAACAAACCGTTCTCACATAATTTACTACTCGTTCCTTTCTAAAAGAAATAATTTGAAACAATTTTCTCACAACTTTGGAGAAAACCTCTAATATTGTATATATCTGTCACACTCTATTTTTGCAATTTGTTGTGCAAAATTTGGACTTAACTCGAAATCGTCGCCCTGGTAATCTAATAGCTCTTGAAGACTACGACCTTCGACGGGACTCAATTCTGTTAGATCTTCTAAAGTTGGCCGCTGGTCGAGAAGCATCTATCACACAAGCATTATGCTTTGAGAAAAACAAGTGCACTACATATGTGTCAAAAGTACCTTATAAACCGCCAAAGGGAATGGAAATGCCACAAGGACGGAATTGTAGACTGCTAATCCACAAAGGATTCCAACCATTTTATAGTAATGCACTTCTTGAACGTCATATCCACTAAACCACACTAAATGCGAGTCAGGATCCTCAATAAACATCCCATATCTGAAAAATATATCCTTCATGAAACACAGACCAATCAACAGACGAACATGGACCGACGTCAAAACAAAATATTTCGCCAAATTGACCCACTCCGATTGCAAGAGTTTTTGAAATAAAATCATAAAGAACTCTTTTTGCACACCACCCGCATCCTCGGCGTCCTCACCCATAAACTGGACCTAAAAATGAATACTAGACATCATATAAAACAAGGAAAAATCATACGTACTTTTAGAGGTCGATGTAAGTATCTTCTGTCAGAGTTCAGAAGTCCGTTAATGGTGTCCTGAACAATATGCTGCCGCCGTACTGTTAATTCGAAAAATGGCTGTTCGATGAAGAGATTAAAACCGAAAAGGTTCAAACGAGCACCATTAATTGATGTCTAAAGATATTATCAAACAAAGGCGTATTAGACATATAGAGAAAAGGGGAAGCAAGAAAAAGATGAAAAAGACAGATGGAAGGAATAAAGATGCAAACCTGCATAGAGATAATTGCCTCGACATATAACAGTTCCCCTTTTGCAGCTGCGTTCATAAGAAATGGGTAGTTGGACCAACACGTGACCTGAGATCCTTTGTCTTCCTAAGCATTAATCATTATAAAATTTAAGACTTTTCAATTGTAGGGTATGACAAACCAGTAGGAACTAACATAAGAATTGTTCCGACAAACAAACAAATGTTGATTATTATAGCACCGTGGTTAAATGACGGTCGGTTTCAAAATTATCGTTTTTCTATTTGCCATGTGACAGTTAACAAAATACCGACTGCGGTAGGGTGGATTATCCGTTAAAAAATAAGTTATCATCAATGGATAACCATATCAACAACAGCCACCCTGTATAAAAGAGCGTTCCGAGTGTTTTCGGCTCATTCGAGATGCTCAACTGAGGAAGATCCCTCTCGGTACGAAGACGAAGACGTCACATCGAGAAGAGGAACAACTGCGGACCATCGACAAGGATCACCGGCTCTGATGAAGATGAAGACGTCGAAACGCTAGCCGAATAAGCATCTCATATCAATTTCGTGTAAGCTCAACAATTTAAACAAATGTTGATTATTATAGCACCGAGGTTAAATGATGGTCAGTTTCAAAACTAATGTTCTGACAAAATTCACTTACTTGAGCTCTAGCCCACTTCACATAATCCATTTTCAGATTGTAATTATCAGCAAGTTCGTGAATGTAGAACTTTTCCAACGGAATCTTATTAGTAACCTAAAAACATTGCAATATTAATACATCGGAATGTCAACATTAAATCGTAAAACGCGAAAACAGCTCAAATTAAAGAAATATCAACAATAACCACAACCTTATTAATCGCACACAATGAGGCAAGGATATCCAGGAATTTGCGGCACTTGCCCGGATCAACTTTGTCCCTCACTAGACATCTGACAGCTGATAACATTGCTTTTGTAAAACGGTTAAAATGGCGCACCGGCAAATTGACCCACCACTTTTCTAGAAACTTTATTTCACACTTCATTCAATGACGAAGAATTGGATTTAAATGATGCCACCTAGAGAATTCCGGAGAACCGGTCGAAGTCTTGTTATGGACTCAGCAAACGGCTGATGCAGTCGGGCCACTACATCTCTCGTTACATCCGTCACAAATACATGCACCCATACGAGTATTAAATATACACGAAGTGGTTCGATAGATGTAACGATTACTGGATTGAAATCATCTCGGAATACTGACATATGACAGCACTCAATTATCTGAACAGTTCTTGATTAAACTGTTCACAGAAACAGAGGTCATGACAAAACACACCAGTTCTCCGTACTGACGAGCATCATTCGACTCTTCCAAGGCGCCAAACGTTTCCATCACATCATCCAAGTTAACTCCAAAATTATTCTGTTCGTAGAGAAATCGCTGTTCGAACTGATATAAAAACGATCCATTTATACAACTAACCGAGGAGAAAACCGATTCGAGGAGCCTGAAGTGCCAAAAAATCTACAAAGTTGGCACCAGGAGTGTAAAAATGCCGTCTTTCGTCAATACTCTTATTTCACAGTATGATTCGAACAACGCTACAATACATTACTATTCCATAATCCAACTTTCCATATTTGCAAAGTTTCTTGTTTTGTTTTCCAACTTTGTTCAACCAACAAAAAAGGACAACAAACCCGATGAGGTAAAATTTCTCATGTCGAGCCAATAAGTTGAGTACTTCAGCTTTACTAAGGAACCTTGGTGTTCGTAGTGGATAGTTAGGCCCAGCAGCTGACACCTAGAATAGTAGAATAACTGAACATAAAGAAACATAAGAAACAGTTTCTAACCCCGCTTCTACTAATCTAGGCACTGATAATTGTCTTTGTATTCTTGATGAACAGAAAGGATGTGGTTACACAACACGCAATTGACACTGATGATAAAGCAGATTTCACCTTCACAAACTCCGACTAACTACTCGGTTTGCAGATGAGATGTAACTAATATGGAGTATCTACATAAGATAAATCTCGCCCTACCACTTCTCAAAAGCAGCATAGACGATCCCAAACAGAAAATGAGCGTACCTTCTCTAGCTAGAAGAAAGCATAGAGTCACTCTAGTGCGTGATAAGAAAGGTCGGAGAGACTAACTGTATCCTCTCGAGTCACTGGATCATCAACTACATAAAAACTACATCTACTGATCTCCTTTTCTGACTAATCTCCAATCGGTTAGTATTCAGACTACATAGACTATCTGTCTTTGCCAAAGAGTGGTAAACGAAAAGCAAAAGCCACCTTATACTTTCCTTCAGACACATGTTGACTTAAAGAATGAAGCATCTATCTGGCTGCACCGGTTTAACGCAAGCTTTATTTATGTAAAGACACATAATCACACATACGTGCCTGGATGTATGCGTACTTTTTCATTGTGCTTTGGACATCAATCTGCACTAATGCCTCCAATCAAGTGCCTGATAAGTACGTGTTACACAGATAGCAAATCTCTTCAATAAGTAGGGTTCTCGTCTACTCTCAGGAGAATCGCAGTGCGATCCTTGAGTATACTCTGCTGCTTCCACGCCAGTGTTCGGCAAGGTTCCCGTCAGGATTAAGCGCTAAAACCGGCAAAATAATTCAGGAAAAACGAAACCACCAAAAGAAATGTAAAGCAAACCTGTTACTCAAAAAAAGCTCCTCAAACGACGATGATGATTTGGACGAAGAATAAAGGATAGGATATAATATTTATCAACAAGAATAAAGGATAGGATATAATATTTATCCAAAAAAGGCATGGTAGAGCCGGCAGCGTTGATGTCTTCGTAAATGGCAGCTTAATCACATACACTGATTAATTTGTGCAAATGGCGAACGGAATCGGACGTCTTCGAGCATGAACATAAGGCCACGATGAAGACTCATGAAAGAGGAGCACTCCATACGGATTTTCAGTGGTTACAAAACTAGTATCACACATTCTATAAGACCACTGGTAATTGGAAACCAAATTTGGACCTAGAGGACGTCTCAAGAGCTTAATTCTTGAATTCATGGATTAAAATAAAATGAACTGATCAGCTATGGGATTTCACCACAATGACCCAGGTAGTTTGCAGTAATTCAATTTCAAAAACCTTCCTCTAAACGTTGGAAGTGGGTGTTTCTCAATGCAGTGTATACCATAGTTATCAAAGATTTGAGTTAACTGGTGTCACAGTTGGTCCGAAATCTAAAGCAGGATCAAATTATCTCCTTAATGCAATATCTTTTTAACAGAAAATAGAAAATGTCACAAAATACACATAATGAAGGCCGAAAACCACTGAAAAACGGAAATCGTTCACATTTTTACCCGATTTTTGGTAAGTTGCCGTTATCAACAACATCGAATGAGGAGTATAACCGGTTCACTAGATGTCTAAACGATAGTTCTAAGAAAATAAAACCTCATGAGGTTCGGAACAGCACTCACAATGTTGGCAAAACCTTCGCCAATTAGAATACTAAGATGTTGCACGCATTGGCACGTCCAGACGGAACAGTTACTAAATCCAGAAAGCCAATGGAGAAAATAGCCTACGAAATCTACTACCTCTTTGGAAGCTTCGTCCAAGTGCCTCATATCAAGCCAGGAGAAGGGATATCTCGTCCTAATCGTTTTCTCTCTTGACATATCACATGCTATGTAATCCATGAAGTATCGTACTACCACATGAAAGCTGTGAAAGGAAGTAGTTCCTAACATCTGAAGAACTTATCGAAAGCTCTTCGTCGATACAATGTCTTCTTTCCATACACTATACACTACCTATCAGAAAGCATACTTTGCATTCAATTAAAAACTATGGAGAACACGCTGTTGCATAGAAATAGAGAGCTAACGACATTGCCAAGTACTGCTCCAGCAGCCTATTGCATTTTGTACACAAGTTCTTCAATAGAGGGAGCCTATAACACTTCAGAGCATACTTACACAAAAAGAAAACTCGGTGAAGTATCATAAGAATAAAGGATAGTTTACCATCACGGACTTAAACTTGATGCATAAGCGGTCATAAAGGCTCAGGAGATTCAAGATTTTCCCAAATACAAAGGCCATTCAAGATTACACATCTACCTCACAATCAAGATTTCATCAATATACAGCTACGTTATCATTGACGCAAAAGATGGGTTTCGAGAAGGCGATATTACCAGGCTAAAATTATTAATACCTACTCTCAAAAATGTCATTTGGATAATGGAATGGAAACAAATGAGAATGGAAGTTGACCAGCAAAAGAAAACCTCCACTATAGCACTTGTGGAAAGATGAATCGTTGTTGGATTTTCAAGCAAACGATGTTCGTAAAACAGCGGTTAACCTGTGATATCCATTTGATAGTAAACGGAATAAATAGTCATGAATGCTCCAGCTATATCTATCTAAGTCGAGAAAGCAACATAATGAACGGTATAGCCACAGAACTATTAGGAGAAAACTATATTGCAGAATTGCACAGCTTGCACCATCAAGATCCCATATTCACCCCTTCGACTATAGATTCTTCCTGCCTTAACGACACAGAACTCAGATCGATGTCGTCAAGCACAGTCCACAAACACTGCTATATATGGCAAAATGCCGAAAAAGAACTAAAGATGTTCAGCAAATCATACGGCGAACACAACACACCAAGTCACTTTTGCTTGCGAAACGGACAATTGGAAGCTTTACTGCTACCAAATTGCGCCAATAGACAATAAACGGGATAATGATTGATTTAGGCTACGAATGATGTAGGTGATGTTTCATTAACCAGAACCAAAGTAATGAATTTACTGTAACAACCTCGCACCAGTCCCATCAAAAATGCAGGCATTTCAAAATGAAACTTACAGGTGCGCCAACAGCACGTATGATAAAAGACTGATCGAATCCAGCGAATACAGCAACTACGTGATCGAGTTCCTCGGTTTGTCGCGGTACTGTTTGATTCACTGCTAGTCCGTTACCTAGTTGACCATTGGCGTTCTGGCCAAATGGGTACAATCGACCTCCAATGACGACGAGTGAATGATTTCTAAACAAATTCCAAGATACTGTTTGTTTTTTCTCTTGATTACACCAAAAACATAGCAAACGGAGGACATTGTTCACCGTATTGGTAAAAATGGTCATAACTACTAAAATCGGATGCAACAAGCAGATGCTTGAAATAGTAAAATACGATTTTTGTAACCGATCTTAGTGGGAAAAAATTATGCAAAGCCTAATCCCTATAACAGACACGATGCGAAAGAATAAAAACGAAGCAGTGTTTCTTCAGTGAACAGTCAAAGACCTGAGAAATGTAACACACCGTCCACAAGCAACTCTTGTCACTGTACTTCCCATCAATTCCACTACAGCAGACGGATTCGTATGCTTGTCCATTCTGAAGCAAAGAAAAGTAAATGCATACGCAGTGGTGAATGTGACACTGATTTCAGTATAAAAAACGAGAATACTTCAGAATCCAAGTAACGTCACATGAAAGACAAGGCAAAAGAAAAGAATCCAAAGTTTAGGGTAAAGAAATGGAATAAACACGATCAATCTTCCATATTTCAAGAAAGAATATTGGATGAAAAAGTCATAATTCTTGGAGATAGGCTGTTCAAAAGAAGAAAATAGAAGTGAAAGTCTTTACTGTTTTCCACCACCAATTTGACCTTGAGCGTCAGAACCAAACGCAAACAAACGTCCCTCTTCCGAAAGCAGAAGTGTATGTGAGTCGCCACAGTACGCCTCGATGATGTGCATTGATCCCATTCCCTCCAAGAAAAAAGGTGTTGACCGAGCTTAAGCTAACCAACATTATTCATGACAGTTTTTCTTCTATAAAGCTGATCTGCCTACGTGAAGTGTCCCCCGTGCCGAGTTGACCATATTCGTTGTGACCCCAAGAGTAAATGCCACCGCCAGCAGAAACAACCACGCAGTGACGACCACCAGCAGCCACTAAAATACTTGGAATTTCACGGAATCTTCTAAGAGCACATATAATATACACTGCATGTTAACTAACCTCTAACAATAGGAATACCAACTAATTGAGTTACGATTTGTGGGGTATGCAAAATTGCACCATCAGCCTGTTCACCCCATACAACCACGTCTCCACCTGCGAGGATATCAGTAAGTTTCATGTAACAACGGGAAAGATGGGGAACTTGTTCTAAGTAACTTCAATTTTGTTCTAAAAATCGCTTCTAAGGGTAAATAAATAGACATAATCCGATAATCCGTTTGCTTCCCAGCAGATTGAAGTACAACTTTGCAAAATCGAGTCTACAATAAATTTGTGGAAGACTTTCGAAACAGCTCTACATCAAGTGAAAGAAAAATACCATAAAAGTTCAAGCTAGCGTCTGTTACCAGAAACATTTGTAGAACACTGATTTAGAAACGAAACTACAAGAGAAAACTAACGAATTCTTATATGAAATATGAAAAAGACGCTAAAAAATAAGTGAAGGTTGTACAAACTTTCTAATAGAGCTATACAGTGAAGCGGACCACATGCAACTTGAACAACTTCGGTCAACTGCCCCACACGTCTGCAAAATCAACAATGACTAAAAGTTTCCATAACAGTTGGTAACAAAAGTAGAGAGATGAATCCATGAAGGATCGCACTTCGGTGTTTCCTGCCAAGGGATTTCACGTGGCATGGCGAGTTGTCCATATTCATTGCTACCCCACGCAAAAAGTCTGCCATCTTCAGCTACTGCCAAAGAATGAGAGCGTCCTGCTGCAACCTAGATAAAAAATGACTCCATACTAGCTCTCAGAAAACATGCACGTTACCAAAAACGAAACTGGCAACTGGTCAACATCTTAACACATTCTTACTTGTATTATTTGGACTCCACCACTGAAGGACACCGGATAAATCGTGAAACTTCCTGGGCCGCGACCTCCTCTACCAAGTTGCCCGTCCTCGTTTCCTCCGACACTCCACATTTTTCCACCTTCATCCAATATTAGTGTGTGTTTTTCTCCACATGATATGCTAGTCACGGTTGTTCCATTAGTGTTTATAGGAGCACCGACTAAACAGATATTAATAACGAAGAAACCCCCATGGATCTCTTCTACTAAACCGGTCGTAGCTAATTATTTATAAAAGAAGCCGAATTCTTTGAAATGGTGTACAGTTGGTTAAATTGGATTAATAGCAAGTGTTGTTGATCCACAACATTAATCAACACCGCTGTCGTAGAACATGTTTATGTGAACACTGGTATATTCGTGTTTATTTATATTATGAAGTATATGTGTTCTTATACTAGACATGTGTACCATATGTTGCTAGGATTAACCTTACTTAGTCACTTGGATATTTGGATGGCCCATCTTCACTGGCTGTGCGGACCCCAGCATAACCTCCGCTCTTCGGAGATTTACTAGTTTAGCTATTGTGGTTCCCTGGAATTCCCAGGACAGCCTGGCCAAAGTCTGCCCCAGGTAGTCGCCGCCCTTGTGGATCAGGAGGTGATTTCCCAACATGCGACTAGTTTAATACAAAGACGGTGATGAACCTTGATATTGGTTTATTTTTAGCTGGGCTTCCTGACAAAAACGCCAGAGTCGTTCTCGCCTAGGGAGACCTTGCTAGGGGGATGAATCTTCCCACTGTACGTCATAGCTCGACACCGAGGAATACCTCTTAGCCACGATGGGGCGGTAAACCGTTGGGAAACTGGATTAACCAAGTGAAAGAACTGCTTCCCAAGAAATGATAAATATAAATAAAGTTGTAGTAGCACGCAAAAACTAGAGTGTTAACTCAAAACAACTGTACTTGAAACAATAATTTCTCTTTTATACGCGGAGACTGAAATAGCTGCACTAATTTACATTACTACGAGAACTACGGTGTAACGCTGTACCAATAGATTTTAAAAATAACCAAAGTACCGATCTTTTCTGGAATTTTGACACACGCAGAGTTCCTGCTACCGAGTCCAAGCTGACCATCTTCTGACAAACCACATCCTAGTAACTCACGCCGCATCTCTCTAAAATCATGCGCGGAGCTTCTAACGCATTTTAAAGCTTCAATATTTTTTCTCTATTCAGCTGACTACTAACATCTAGCTACATATTCGAATGAAGACAGCAGACTGTATGTCGGCATTACTCTCGTAGTTATGAACCGAAATTATTATCAATTAAAGGAAACGCGGTATTTCATGAAGCTGACATTTATAGATAGCTATTTTACTGATTAAAAAATTTATTCATTGTGAAGAACTAGCCGAGAGCCAGCTGAAAATCGAATCGATAGTTAGAAAAAGTCAACAAAGTAGGCGAAGCAATTCCACGGTAACAGTTTCACTTGTATCTAAGTCGCCAATGTAGCGCAGTGGAACACAAAAAAAGTAAGAGCAACAGCTCGATTAGAATTGAGAGACTATAAGTAACCGAAAGCGAAACGATTTTCGCTCATTAAAACAAATATTTAGAGAAAAACGGCTTAGGAACAGTTGTCGACACCATCTTTGTCAACAGGACTAGACGCTATCGTACTGATCATTCTTTCCTCTGGGCCAACAGAATCAGAAAAATCCTCTTGTATAACAACTTTTTTGGCTTCAGTATCTTGCGATGCATCTAGTCTTTCAGCAGCCTAAAATGGTTTAATGGACATTAAAATACGGTAATAATGATGGACGATTCCAATTAATTAAAACCTTATGCTTTCTCTTAGATCTCATCATTTGCTCGATCTCTGAGCAGTCAACTCCCATCATGCGAAGCATATGAATGCGCTCTTCTTTACACAGGTAGGGCGAAACTGTATGAAATCCAACCTAAAAAGAAAAAAGCAAATCTTTGAAAGTACAATTTTAAAACAAAATGGCATTTACTCCCTAGAACAAACAGCAAACACTTCTCACCCAGGTACATACTGGATTTGATCGATCTGAATATAAAACCAAACTTCCAGCGCTCTGCTCCCGAACAGCATCCTTACATCGAAGAGACTCTAATGGGATCATCGCTTCATCTGTCTTTAGTATTTTCAGCATGTCATCTTTACCAATTTCAACCTAAAAATACCACCACAAAATTGCAAACATTAACGAGAAACACATGGACAAAACATTCGGCTAATCAAGTCTAAGCCTCAACCAAAAGAATGCAGTAATAACAGAATGGATAACAAGGACTCACCAACTGTTTGTTCAAAAAAGGAAGCAAATGTTTTATTCCTTCTTGTGACAAACGAAAGCGCGTCTTTTCGACTTTACGCTCATTACGGCTAAACATCTTCATACCGGCGTTTTGAATTGACACAGTCGTCATATTGCGCTGCTGAAAACTACTGAGGATTCCAAACACGTTCCCAGTCAAATAGCCCACAAAGGAAAAAAAAGCACATGCCACGAAATCCTTAACCGCGTTGTTAGCGTAGAACAACTGGCGGCAATTAACATCGTTCTCAGCAAGTCGACGACTGAACAAGTTCTCGTACTCGAAGTCTTCTCTAATGCCATAGTGGTTTCTAGACGATAAAGCATATATATACATATATATATATGTATATATATATATAAAAGGTACAGATCATAATTTACTTGTGTGTCTATTACGATGAGTCCAACGTTTAAAAAAATAGGACGCAACGGTTGACATTTTCTTGAAGGTAGAATGTCATTCGAAGTTAAGTTCAAGGAGGTAGCGTTGTGTGTTGAGGTTGACATTATCACAACACGGAGATCTCTATTCATGGTTATCCTCTCGCCAAAGACAGTAAAAAATTGAAGATCTCATGTCGAGTGCGATTTTTTCAAATAGATTCTTAGAATTACACAATGATTAACGGGATTTCATGTGAAAGATATAGGTGAACATGATAATAAGCCATAAACCACAGTGGTTTGCTAACCAATAGACTGAAAAAAGAGAAAAAACTGTAAAATAAGTGAGCAATAAATATTTCCCATTGTCTTCATCCCTATAATAAAAAATCTGAAGAATAGATAAAACGTAGCCGCAAAAACTTACAATAAGACTCAAACGTACTTGATATCAAGCCATCGTTCGTCGTCTTTCTTCAAAAAGGTGAATGGTTCATCCTTGAACATTTTATGCTTTCTGAATGCTGGCCCACTGAACAATTTACAAAGGATATAAATGGAATGGAAAGGATACAAAAAAATTAAAATCCAAAATGGTAAGAAAATAAATTTGGAAAGAGGGTTTTACCTTACAGTAACAGCATTGTTGAAAGAATTAACTGCGATCTTCTCTATCAACGCCACGAAAAAGCCTCCAGTGTCCTGATGATGTGGCACAATTCGCATACTTCAATGCGAATTCAAAATTGGGCACATTAATCATTCGTGGAAAATTCTACTACTACTTACCAGTATTCCAAATGCAGTGATGCTTTCTCTACTTCACTTGGTGCAAAACATGATTCACAAATCATTTTACGCAAAGGATCAGGTACATCTGATGGTTTCTCGTAGAAATTCATGTCTCGATCGAAGACCTACAGATAGGATTAAAATAATATAAATAACGGGACTAAAATAATATAAATAGTGGCTCTACACAAAAACTACCTTACTCAAATAAAATGGAGTAATACCTTCCATACTGAGACACCACGAAGACCAATTAGTTTAGGAAGAAGAGGATGAGTATCACACAGTCGGAGAGCACCTTTTGACTCTCGTATTAATTGAGCAACAACCGCTTCGTCTTCAATTGGATTCATAGAGCATGTAGAGTAGACCATACGGCCACCAACTTTTAAAAGCTCAGCTCCTCTAAAACTTAATTATTCAGATTACCGAACCACGTATCCACCTATGGAAAACGTTTATTTTAAGACTAACCTACGCGCAATTGAAAGCTGCATACGATGCAATGCAAGACCGTCCTGTGGCGTCCACTTCAACCAAATCTCCGGGTTTTTTCGAAGCGTTCCATCTCCACTACAAATCACATCACAAAGGATGCGATCGAATTTCAAATGGTCATCGTCCTGAATACAAGATTTCTGCCTAACAGAGTCATTATTCAAGTTTCCTGTCCGCTACGAGATTCTGAACAGTGTATTTCCCGCAGTTTAGATGTAGTGTATAACAACTAACTTTTCCCTTCAAGATAGGCATTCTAGCAGCATCCTCGCATATGACCACACAATTGGCAGTATGGAAGCGTTTAAGTGTCTGGTGGATCAACATATAACAGCGTTTCTTGTCAATATCATTTGCTACTAGCATGCCATCTAAATAAGTTATTAAGCAGAAAAGAACGAATGGAATACTTCTACAAAATACCATTGTAAATACTCACTTGGAGTATTTGTGTTTTCATGCATCATCTCTACTAACTGTGCTGTTTTGCTTCCGGGAGCAGCGCACATATCCAGGACTATATGGTCCGCCTTAGGATTTAACAGCAACGGTGGAATCATACTTACGGCCTCCTGACGTGATATGTGGCCAAGACCGGCCTCTGTTACCTATAATTTCCATAACTGTCGAATGCGAGCACACCATAGATATCTCTCCGAGGTTTAAGTTAAGTTCATAATATTCTCACCAGGAAGTTGTGAAAATGAGCAAGAATTGGATGACTCCTAACCTCCGTTCGTGTCATTCTAGTTTGATAAGCGCCTGGATACCTATGAAGAAAACAAAACCTCGTCGAAAACAGAAATAGTGTTCCAAAAATCAAAAATGAAGCAAGATACAAACCACGGTAAAGGCTTTGGTTCGTAAACATCAGAACATTCGGACTGAGAGAGAGGAATGAAAAACTTTGTCTCCATCTCATGGATTAGACGATCTCTATCTCTAAATTTTAATAAATTCGATAAAGCTCTGGCATTAAAAATTCCAATATCACGATACTCTCTACTAATTTATCCGAGCAAAAACTTACTTATGACAACCCTGGATACGAAACGACACTGGAAGATCGGTTCGCAGAGCGTTGCAAAAAGCATCCCACTCCTGTTCAGCGACTAACTGTTGTGCTTTGTAAAACGCCCAATATCCCTCGTTCTCTCGAACTATTTCTTTATAAGGTTTACGCTAAATCAATAAGACTCGAACAAATATTTTGTTCTATTCATGAGCTTACACGAGGTCCACATAAAATGTTCACTGTGGACAATGTTTCAGCACGTTCGACTCTCTTAAAGCCGCAATAATTCGAGTCCAGAGTCCATTTTTCTTCTTAGGATGCGGATGCTCCTTGTCGCATCGAGTCCAGTCCAGTGCAGTGGAGCATCGCTCGACCGCTGCAGACTGGATTATCTTCATAATGGAAAATCATTATCGATGGACAATCAATCAACATGTGTCTCGTGCAAAAAGACCGCGCCGAATAGGTTAATTCATTCACGCAATGTTCTATCCAACTATATTGGACTTGGCAGTACAACGAAAATCCACGTTGCAAAGACGAACGGCTATGAACCATCGACACGGATAATCGCTACTATGGAAAACATGAAGGGATCAAAACGCTACGCATAATAAAGATTTTATATCAACCTCGAGTAAGCTCACAATAGGAAAAACCTTGGAAATTCATGCCATGGGTAGATGAAAACCAGTTTTCTACAATCTCCACACAAATTTTTGGGAATAAGTACAACACAGCACTAGATGACCGGCAAATCCCTTTACAGAACAACAACGAACACCTACGTACAGCTGTCCAACTCTCAGATTTAAGAACTCCGTTCTGTTGTTGTCGTTTAGATTTCATAGCTAAGCGCTCCCTTTTCTTTTGGAATTTACTACCCATCTAAACAAAGACACTATATAAAAACCACTTGGATTTAAACAATAGCATTTAACGGATAGTAACCTTACAATCTTTTAATAACATGTAGGGCTATATATTTACTTGGTTACCAAACATCAGCTCAGCAACAATCTTATATGAGACAATCTTTGCCCAAGAACAACTCCACTGACCACTGTATATGAAGTGCGAGCGAAATCTGAACAATGCGAAGCAACAACCCAGACCCAGGCGTAGGGTCATCAAGATGGTAGGAAGCTACAGATACAGAGAAAAGTAAGTACATTAAACAAATGGAAGTTTACATGACAGACTGGAAGTTAAGCATGTAATACAAATTATGAATTTTGGTTAATGCATGTATAGAACAAGCGCTCCTTCCTAGTATGAGTGAAATTAAGAAATAATGTTACAAATTTAAGTCAAATAACCGAGCACATATATAAAACAATTCCACTTTAAACGGGCGAGTTCCATGCCATGTTAGTCACTTGCGCCTCAAATCCGGTCGAAAAAGCGTCTGATGGCCGCACGCACGTTGGGTCTTTGTCGAAGCGTCGCTACCAAATCATCGCTCGCTCAGTAAACATCGAGTAGAAACTGGCCGCGGCCAGCGAGGACGTCACAGTCTATGACCGCTGATCCATAACGATCGCATAGCAGCTGGAATAAAAAGTTGAGAAGACTAAGAACAAGGTTCTTAAAGAACTCCGCACCGTTAAATGGCCATCTTCGAATCAAGGCCCTTGGGAGAGCAGCAGATTTGCCATATCGTTTTCGATATCCTGACTGAATGCCATATGTCGATAGTCATCTTGTTGTGAAACTGCAGTTGCAGGCCGTTGTGACTGCACAGACATTGACGCAACATTTTGTGATTGAGATTGTGTCCATCCTGACATGGATATGTCACCGTAAGCATCGACTCCAATAAGAGGATCTTGTGATGCCTAAACAACAACTATTTTTAAAAAAGCACTCGAAGACTAAAACAAAAGAGAGGGCTTATGCGCAAATGTCGCTATAGGTGAGTTGTCATCATCCTCCAACCAAGCTTACCTGTGATGCATACATTCCACCGTAATCCGCCTGAGATTGACCCATACGAGCAGATGGGCCACCGATTCCATGCGGGGCAGGCGGCCACGCTGGATTATTGCGACGACCTTGTTGCATCCCTACAAAAAAAAACATTGAAAAATTGCTTTGTGGCACAAGTTCAGAAGCCGTGCGTAACTAGCTTTGAACTAAAACATTAGAGCATACTTTGTTGTGGCGGTTGTGGAAACGGAGGAGGAGGAAACATGTGCAGCATATGTAGAGGAACCGGTAAATTAGCAGAATGACGTAAAGACTGTGCAGAAATAGCAGAATGAGGATCCATTGGAGGTGCGTCTCTCGAGTAACCTCCACGGTATTCACGCAGAGTGTAGGTTGCACGTTGAATCCCGTACCGATCAGTCTGATGATGAGAACAAAAACGTTGAATTAAAACTTAATGTTTCTAAGTCACATATCACCTCTATAAAGTTTTGGCACTTACCGGATATGCTGGATTTGTACGTTGTGGTTTCGGTTTAGGAAGTGTTATCTGTACAGACTTTAGGTTGTTTATAGGACCTTCAACAATAACACTTTTCTGATTGAATGTTGTGAGTAGGTCATTCCAAAGTGGTTGCCTGGCTAGCACCTGAACGAAGGACTGTCACAATCACTTTAAACATAACACATTTAAACTCTAAAAAACCATACAAAATAACCATATGTGACGCCTTTATGGATATTCTAAACGGAGTTAAACATTAACGTTAACAAATATTGTTTACCTTCGCATTTCCGATTATGATCAAACCATACTTCGCCCTCGTCAAAGCGACATTCAAACGACGCGGGTCGTTGAGAAAACCTATTCCCGAGTGATCATTTGATCGCACGCAAGTCACAATAATTAGATCTTTCTCACGTCCCTAGAAATCCATCAATTTAAAACTCTTTCATATAGAAAGACGAAACCTCGTGTTTACCTGAAAAGCATCCACATTGGCTATTTCCATGTTTTCATACAGCTTGCTGTTAAGCGTCCCTTGCGTATGCATGTACTGTACTATGTATGATCGCTGTCCTTCATAGGGCGTAATTATACCAATCTGTTCTGGTCTCATACCACCTCTACAAGAATACTCTGGATCCTTCCTATGTTTCAAACCCTTTTTGTAAGAAAGGAATTACGAAGTCATAAATCTAACCTAATGAGTTTACTTGCAAGCTTCTCAACGTTTGCAGCTTCTGTTCTGTTCAAAAACGATGTACCACTTGCACTCATCTCTTCCTGACCATAACAAGACCAGAAGATCATTGGACGACCAGGAACAGGCCATTCCCAATCGACTCCTCGAAGCTGACGTTCCGCTAAACAGTTGGCGTATTTCAATTGTATTGATGAATAGAAATGAATTCTTTAAAAGACATTTTAACACAAACTTTGAGTAACTCCATTTTGTAAACTTCCTTCATAGAACACGTTACTTGGAAATGAAGACAGTTCTGGATGCATACGGTATTGCACCTGTAGAAACTCCATATAAAAAGTGCGTCAGTACAAGATGTCTCAAATATAACCTGGAGTCGAATAGGTCGATTCCCAAGAAGAACGAGACGCTCAAAAAGAGATTGAGATAGCCCTGCTTTTGAAGCCTGAACAACGTAAAACCGCAAATGAAGAGACATTTTAACAAAGAGTATTGAAATATGGATAATAATCAAGAGTTAAACGGTTTTATAACTCGTACCTTCTTGCAAAGAATAACAGGTCCTAATTGGCAATGATCTCCAACTAATATTAGCTGGCGTACGCCACGAACAATAGAGACAAGAACTTCGGGTTCTGTAGCCTGTGTAGACTCGTCAACTAGCACACACCTGAACATAAAATTAATAAAGGATAAACTTTACAATACGTAATCAAAGGTAAGGACAAATAAGTACGTATAAGAACTACAGCTAACAACGTACTTGATTTTAATCCGTGATAAACGCGAATCTGCTGCGGAGGAGCACGTGCAACATATCACATCCGCAGCCGCAAGAAGTTTATGTTCGCTCATTTTCTTCAGATTAATATAGCGCTCTTGATCAGCGGCCGACAATTCGCCGATCTCCTCCTGATGTTAAAATATGCAGGATCAAATATTCAAGAAATAAAGTAATCCTAAAGGCCACCTTCAACTGCTGAAGTTTCTGCAACTCAGCTGATTCTTTGAGTGCTTTCAGTTGCGCATGTAAAGCTAAGAATTCCACGTTCGTGTCAAGAGCTTCTCTTGATTTTGCATAAAGACGTACAACCTGCAAAGATGTATACGAGTCAAGATAAACGACAAAGTACAGTAGATAACAAAACGATACTTTCAGTCCTGTACGGTGAATCTTTTCAGCTAGCTGATCGACTGCAATGTTGGATGGAGAGCAAACCAAGACCTGTCCTTGCGTTTGTTGTACAAGGTGATAGACAATGGTAGCAGAGGTCACAGTCTTAAAATAGTTATCTTGACCAAGAAAGTAAAGTAATAAAATTGGTGAAAGATTGATAGCCAAAATAGTTTATAAACTCGTGACTAACTTTTCCGGTTCCAGGTGGACCTTGAATGAGGCTGAGAGGTCTCATAAGAACTGTTTTCACAGCATGCATTTGACTATGATTTAGTTCAGGAAGACCAGGTGCCGACAAGCGCTTCGGTTGTTGAACCTAGAATCATGAAAATGTATAACCATTAAATTCACACTTGCTAATAAAAAAAAGATGATAACGTGCAAGGAAACGAAAAATACAAATAACCTTGAATAATATCTCGTCAATGTCATGGCCCATTAGCTTGTGGAAAATGTACTGCGAAACACAATGAGGATCTTTTTCCAGTGTACTCAGCGCCTGGTACATTCGATCAAATGACGTTGAATTCCAGACAGCCTAAAACTTCAGAGCCTCTTGCATGACTAAGAGAAGAAAACCAGGTGGACTACTGACAATTGTTTTTCGCAAACCCCTTAACCATTTCAACGGCTTAGCGTCTCACCGTAGCAATGTTTGTGTTGTTTGTGTATGTCAAATTGTGTAACATGTAAAACAATACGCTTACTTCTAGGCAAAACTAGTCAAAAGTGAATTAATAATATCCATACAGAACCTCAGTTAAAGGTCAACCTATGCCTTAAAACTAGGAAAACAAATGAATGGAAACAATAGTAAAGCAAGCAGTATTTGTGAAAATGGACTGAAATTGTGTCGAAAACACTTCTTATTACCTCGCAAGTGAAATTGATCCTAGGATCAGTAGGCATCTTTTCAGAAGCAACAGCACGCATTTCAATTCCAATTTCGTCACTATGATCTTTAAAAAGTTATTTTCAGCAACTTATAGGAAAAAAAAGAATACTCATGATATCCAAAAAAAAACTAACTGAATAAGAGCAAGCTAAAGAAAGAGCTCATCATAAATATCGGCACCCACTCAAGACTTAGTGGTAAATGAAAACATGTACAGCTATGGAAGTAGAAAAAAACTGACTATCAGGGATTTTGAAGACCTGTCCAAGGCAAGACCATTCCCTTTCGATGGTTTGACTGTGCTTTAATCGTAGTTCATCACCTATCATCAGCTTCATGCCTACAAAGTTGAAAAGAAGCGACAACTTTAAGACAATTAGTATTCAGTACTAATATCCATATTTACTAAACGAGTACAGCATTTCCGTTGCGCATATACACATATACATACATATATACATGTGTACATATACGCATATATACATGTAAATATATACATATATATATATATATATATATAAACACAATACCGACAGCATACGTATGAATTGTCAATAAAGAAAATGTCGAGAAGCGTAAGAACAATCAATAAAGAAGCTCCCGAGAAACGTTCTCCAGAAGAAATGTAAGAAGTACTCTCAAACCGTTAAATCAGAAATGTAAGACGACAATTGCTTTAATCTACATAAAACCAACTTCCTTCCATAAACTTTGGGAGATGAAAGAACGCAAGATGTTTCTTGTTCAATCCTTGGTCCCAACGAACATGTCCGACACTTTGGGTTTGTGATTCTTTCGTCTTTCTGTCAAATTCAGCTTCTTCTCGAACTAACGGAGCAAAAATTCGCCGGTAGTGGAATGCGTCTTCATATCTAAATATGGAGAATCCAAAAAAACTATTAAAATTTTTGTGGAATACAACACTTTCTCCTTTTTTGGATTTCGTTGGATCATCTCTCCCGTTTTCTGTAAGATGTGTAAATCTTACACTCAAATGCATAGTGCGAGATATAACTGACTCAAGTTACCTAAGAAGCACACTTTCGGGTTCAGTGTCAACACCAGGGCGATCGAGGTCCTCCACTGTAGCTTTTGGATGTTCCTTCCATAGATCTTCTAGGCGACTTGCTTGAGCAGCACTAAATGTCAAGAAGTATACACCGTGAAAAATGGACGTCATCATAACAGAGCAAACAACACACGTGATATGTCTTGCCCTCAACTGTGCTTGCTCAGAAGGCACATTGACAATCCATGACAATAACTATAAGAAAAAAAGTTATTAAAAGGCTCTTTTCCGAATTTAAGACATTCCGAACATTATACATTGCACGAATCGTCTTCCCCGGCGCAACGAAACCTTATACGTAGAGTAACCAAGAAAGATGAAACATCACCTGTCTTTCATGGATCAACGGCTTCCATTCTTCGCCTTGCCAACTCGGATCTTTTTGAGATGCAATTTGTGCGCAAGGGTGTCGGCACAAAATTACCTTGAATAGGCCAGTTTGCGGTCGCAGAAAAATACGTTCGCAACATCCGTTAAACTATTTAAAACTCGCAAGTTTTAACCCACCACTAAAGAATCAGCCTTAGCAGGGATGAATCCAAGCATGAACACATTACGGGATGCACACTGGTAGCACTCTAATTGAGTTTCGCCTAACGGCGATTCTCGATGGAGACATACCTTAAAGCATAGTGTAAAACCTTGTTGCACAACTTATATGGAATTGTGTCAGCATAGGTAACACTTCCAGTTAGATTCATCACTTCATGGGGATTACATAAAGTTAGAAACCAAAAGAAAAAGAAAAACTTTAACTAAAATGCACCTCTTTATGCTGCGACCGTACGAGATGAGTGATCAAATGTGAACCCGACGTACTTCCTTTGCCGTTACAAAACCATCTATTACAAACGGTGCACATTGCTACGCAGCTTGACTCATGAATTCCACAGTATCTAAAAGCCCAGGAAACATTGGCTTGAACACTGTAAGCATTGCGCTTTACTTCACCAAAAACGCTAACACGGCAAATTATTAATTGGATTATTGGAATTTTAACACTTAACATATCAAGAAGTGGAATATCAGCACAGTTCGCATACCGAACGAAGCAAGAGAAGGGCTCACCGGCATGAATGTTCTGGGAGTTTTTCTATTTGTGGTTGTTCATCATCATCAACATCATGAAATGTTAAATCAGCATTGTTTTCAACGCTTCCAGTTAAATTGTTATGGATTATCTGAAAATTCATAGAAACACTGTAACGTTAACATTCAAAAGAAGAATCAAAATGCATCAAACAACTACAAAAATTCTCTTTTCTTTAAAGTTAATTACGCGAAAAAACACGGTAAGCAACGCAAGTTGGATGAAAAACCTAATAGGGCACAAGAACTGTGGTTTCAAGCTTGCATACCAACAACAAAGACATATCGATGACGGTGAGTGTTTTTACCAACTTCTACTTCATTTTGCCTTGAAACCTCATTTTTGAAAATGGTGTGACCCAAGAAGCAGAACGCAAAGTCCCTATTTTTACGGTTTTATTTCACGAAGTACCCTGCCATGAAAAAGGAATATACAGCGAATAAACTTTAAGACAAAGAAATAATAATAATGAGCACAAATTTTATGTATTTATTTATGTTCATTTCCTTACTACTTATACTACAGCTTCAGCTTAACTGGATTTAGTACTCATTTCTGCTCCCCAGATCAATCCCGTTAACGGATGATTGCTAATAACATCTATAGGTCAATAACACGGCTGAGAGAAAGGCGAAACGAAGGGCCTGTACAGTATAGTGGTGGACGTACTAGCCCCCGGAAAGGGTAATAGTGTGTTCGGTCGCCACAGCAGACACCAGTAGTACAAAGTTTTGCAAATATCTCAACAACTTTATGATTATATAACCATTTTAGTGGAGAAAACTGAACACAGTGTAAACAACGGCAATGAAATAATACCTGCATCTTATGGCTCATTATCTACCACCTATTAAACGTATTAAAAAACCTTTAACTTTTCCAAGATAAAATGCTACAAGATATGAACTTGACAAATACTGTGAAGTACCTGAGAACTCTGTGTTGGTATAGAAAAGTGATGATCAAATGCAAATGTGGAATCTTGTGTACCGCCATGAAGAAGTCCATCATCATCTACAGTCTCCACGAATGTTAGGGTTTCGCCCACTCCACTACCGTACACCTCGTCAAAGTCCATTTGACGATTGACAGAGAACTGGAGGCCAAAAAAGCCCTGAACAAAATATCATCACTCAAAGTTGAATCAATAAGGAGTACGAGAGAAGAATCATACTAAAGACATCAAGGCCCATAAAACAAGCAATCATCATGAAACTCTCCAAGCAACGTGCTGGAACCACCATTAAGCAGAAATCGGCAATGGGAAGAATAGAGGTGTTCAAAGTGTTCCGTTCTTACCAGTTTGATTTAAAAAACTGGTGATGAAATCGCTGGCATGTTTGGTGAAATTTGTGAAATTAGACTTCGTCCCACCATCTTACGTTGGTGCATTACAGGAAACACGTTTGAGAAAATCCCCATGCATTCAGAATCAAACTTTGAAGTGAAAGTCTCTTAACAGAATTTAGGAATCCACAAGAATCCACATAAAAACACGTTTTCCGGCAGGTCTACGTTGCGTGCAAGATTGATACGAAGGGAGGACAACCATATTCCACCAAGCGACTCACCAAACGTAATGTGAAAAAGAGAAAACTGACCGACAGGCTCAGAAAATGCCAAACAGAAAATTCGCAGCGATAGCAGGTTATCAGCACCACGTAAATCAACTTCACGACCAAAATGCTTAAAGGTCGCAAAGCTCAAACAAAGTCACGGTTTACGATGGTCCACATTAACCGACGCTGAAGGAAAAAACGGCGCTAACAAGTATGCATCAGAAGATATAATCTGATCTGGTTTCGTTCGAGGAGTTTGTTTATTTTGATTTTCTGCATCTAACTGATTGAAATTTTCTCTGTCGTTGATATTCGTGAATTTAACCCCATGGGGAGTGGAGCTTTGTACCGTCGCATTCGCAGAGAGCATAGGAAATAGAGAACGCCGAACCACTTTTTTCAGCTAATATAGCTTATGATTTTGTTGAGTAAATACGTCTCCTTCAATTTCTGGATTCTTTGACTTGGAAAAGAGTGCCATAATGTTTTAAGCGAGTAATGCAAAACCATTTTAATCAATTAACGATGTGTATTTTATCCCTGAAGGATTAAGGATAGAGCTCCCGGCGTTGATCAATCTCTGAGGGATGCGCCCATGCATTCGTCTTCATCAAGCATCGTTGGAGGTGACTGAATGCATATCTGCTTTTTACTCGCGGTGACCCACCAATATATCGAGCCAATGGTGCTATCCCGCCAGACAAGTCTGGTAGCAATTTGCCGACTTCAGAGGGATGGAAAGTTTGGTGGGCCACGGACGTGGGAACCGATCGTCTGTTGCAGGACGCCTCTGACCACTGCGCTACACGAGCCGATCATTCTATTCCTAGCTTTACGAAGAACTTTACTTTCGTATTATGTGGACATTTGGATGGCTCTGTGATCCATCTTCAATACATTTATGGGCCTGAGAACAGTTTCCATTCTTCCATCTTCCTCATGAATACCACAGTTTGAGATGGTGTATGTTTCCTACATTATAATTATCATTTCATTATCTATAAGCACATTATCGATTCTGTATCCATATCGTGTGTGGCGCAATGGTCGGAAGCGCCCTGCAAGACACGGAATCGGTCTACTCGTCATAGCCCACCAAGCCTACCATCCCTCTGGGGTCAGCAAATTGGCACCAGACTTGGCGAGAGAGATGTCACTTCATTCATTTTTCACGTAAAGGTTGACGTTTCGGCAGATTTCGCCCTCTGATTCGATGCTGTTCGATCATCTCTGTTTCACTCCTACTCTTTAAGAGTGCAAAGATGTCGCTGGTAGAACTAAGCTTTGATGGAGATGTCGCTTTAATCTTCATTTGATTTTTGTCCAACGACTGTGGTTTCATTACTATGAGGACGGTTGGTGCTCTATGGAAGAGTTTCGCTTAAGCTAGCAATCTTAGATGAAGTTGAGGTAGTAGTCTTAGATCGTGTTCTTATGTCCATCTCCGTCTTTCTGGCTTCACTGGAAAATTTCGACATTGATCGTTGATTTTTTCAAATCGACTTTAATTTAGCCGCAGCACAAATGATCAATAGCTTCTTGGGTTATTAACGTTACACGATGTCGAAGACCTCGAAACGTTAGCCGAATAAACAACCTCGTGTAAGCTCACTAATCGTAGAAGGTCTTGATCAGTGAGTTTCTTTTTTCTCAAATGGGGAACTTTCATGAAACTTGGAGCAAAATTACAACTGGTAAGTGCTGACTTTGTTCTATGCTACCAATCTGAACTTGTGTATATGTGTCCATAGCACTAGTCATGAAGATTGAATACTTAAATATTTATGTAAGCAGTAATTTATTAAGGACAACCAGTAGATAGGGGAACTATGTAAGAATATTTATTTATGAGATCTTATAAACTGATCTTCTTAAGCTGACGCGAGGTTGGTACAGATCTTCGTTGTCGTTGTCGTTGTTTTTGATGTTATTGATCGATGGCTGACGTTTCGGCGACTTCGCCTTCCTCAGAGCCTGGACGTACTTTATGTTAGAATACTTTTTATTATTCGGTGGAAAAGAAGGTTAAAGTATTAATGAAGATCAAACTTTCAAATAGACGCCATATTGAACAGAAAGGCCACTCACCGTGATGTTACGTGCGGGACTGGCCCACACGTAGTTCACGTGGAGTCGCGAGCAAGACACGCCCCGGGGTCAAAATATCATTTTGAAATAGGGCGCCAGGTCACGTGTGATAGTGAGGCATTCGTCCTTCCGGTTCATCTTTGGATTTTTGAAATTTATCCAAAACGCCTCAAGAGTTTTGCGCGTTGATGTTTTTGATTCCTGCGCTAGGATCCGCACATTCACTTCAAAATNTCATTAATACTTTAACCTTCTTTTCCACCGAATAATAAAAAGTATTCTAACATAAAGTACGTCCAGGCTCTGAGGAAGGCGAAGTCGCCGAAACGTCAGCCATCGATCAATAACATCAAAAACAACGACAACGACAACGAAGATCTGTACCAACCTCGCGTCAGCTTAAGAAGATCAGTTTATAAGATCTCATAAATAAATATATCAACTATTTATGCCGAGGTTCATAGAAAGTCGGTCTTTCGAGTTATGTAAGAATAAGGAATAACATCTCCACGGCAGTGATACTGAAGTAGAGAAATAGCACAGGACAACAAGCTCACATGAAAAGATAACGATATACGTTAAGGATTTGATTCTCTAAAGATCATGAGGTACATATGTAAATGTTTCATGAAGGACATGTGTAAATTTTGTGAAGCATATAGACATTATGTGAGACGGACAGGCCATTGTGTTGTATGCAAGAGACCGACATATTTCTGGAGTGATCCACAACGAGTGCAAAGAAAGTAGTATCGTAGTCCAGTTACCGTATTCACGACGATGGAACCTCGTATGGAGTCATACAATACAAATATTGTGATGAATTTCAATTTCAACGCAACCCAACTTATAAGGAACATTATTAATTCATATAAAAAACATTAAAGTGACGGACATTTGCTTACAGAATACAAATTCTGTTTTCCTATCAAGAAAAGATTCCGCTTTCATTGGTGTCACGACAGCGTCTTTTTCACGTTTCTTCGAGCATTTTAAATTCGAAAGTAATTGGACAAGGAGAATTTCAATGATGCTGAGATATTTACAAAACTTGGACTCCAGGTCGGATCGAGCCGCGAATACGGTTTCCGGGTGCTTTCTTGTTACGCGCGGTACCACTGAGGCTCTCGTTCTGCCTTTCTTTCAATCAATCTCTTTATCCTAATGGTGCCGTTAGCAATCACCAGTCAACGGGAATGCTCTGGAAAGCACAAATTGTCATTAAACTCAGTTAAGCTGAGACCAACAAATATGTCGCCTTCAACAAATATGCTCCTCAGCTGCCCAGAGAGAGACTGGCAATCTACCCGTGAGTATACCCACCTCCACCTTCACAGTACAGCAGGCTACACGTGGGTGTTAAATGCTAAACGCAATAAAATGAGTGGGCCTATTTCTGCTAACCCGAAGAGAGTTGGAGAGCAAATACGGAGAGGCTGCTAAAATCTCACGCCTGCCTAAATTTCAAGGAACTAGGATGGACTACATCCAGACGATAACAATAGTCATTGAAGTATCGCGAGAGTACAAAAGATCGTTCCGTTTCACTTTCATCGATTTAAAGAAGGGTTTTGAGCCAGTTAAGATAGAAGTTGTCATGGAAGCTCAGGACAGTCAGGGAGTGCCTAATCAGTATATAATGATTATTCGTGAGTTGTATAAAAATTTTGCAGCTGAGATATTACCACTCTACAATGATATTAACACCAACGTCAAAAGAAGGGTTGGGCAAGGCGATCCATCTCGCCAAAATTATTTACCGCTACCCTCCAGAATGTCGTGCGAACTTTGGTATGGGATAACATGGGAACGAAAATCGAAGGTAGGCAGTTACATCATCTTCGCTTTACTGATGATATCGTTCTTATAGCACCAAGCACTGGCCAGGTAAAACGAATGCATGCCGGCTTTGATAAAGCCTGTGGAAAGATTGGCCTTCGATTAATTCTCAAAAAAACGGTGTTCATGAGGAACGGATAGGTTGCCTATGCCCCATTTAAGCTTAACGGAACGAATATCTCGGAGTGCTCCAGCTACATCTATCTAGGTCGTAAAATCAAAATGATGAACGACTTAGCTCCAGAGTTGAGCAGAAGGAAACGAGCGGCTTTAGGAGATTTTAAGAGCACCGAAGATGTGGTGAAGAGAACAAGGAACACTCGACTCCGTGCCCACCTTTTCAACTCTGCGGCACTTCCTGTGTTAACGTATGCATGAGAAACCTGGTCGCTGCGTAAACCTGTCACCTGTATCACCTGTAGTCCCGTTGATCGTCGAGTGACTCGAGTAGGCGCCAGTAAATCTTCCATTTTTCCTTATCGCGTGCAAGAGTAGCCCAGTGGGTTCTACTCGCTCTAGGGACTCGTCGAACGTTATAGCTTTCTTCAATGCTCTTCGTGAAGAACTGACCATCGGGTCGGTGGTCTTCCTGCAGTACGTTTGAAATTCCGAGGTACCCAGTCACTAACGGCTCTTGTCCATCGGTTGTCATACGTGTGCATTACGTGCCCGGCCCACCTTATCTTCGACTGTGTGGCGTGCAGAACGGCATCTTTGATTTTTGATCGCTGACGCAGGTAGGAGTTTTGGATCTCTTCTCTTACTTGTGTGAAACGGGGTACTCCTAGCATCGTCCTTTCGACTGCGTGTTCAATAACGCTGAGTGACGTTTCATCCCACTTACGCAGCGACCAGGTTTTTGACACATACGTTAGGGCAGGAAGTACCGTTGAGTGGACAAGGTGGGCACGGAGTCGAGTGTTTTGTTCTCTTCACTACATCCTCGATGATCTTGAATGCACCCAAGGCGCTCGCTTCCTTCTACTCAACTCTGGAGCTAGCTCGTCCATCATATTTATTTCCCGACCTAAATAGATATAACTGGAGCATTCGGAGATATTCGTTCCGTTGAGCGTGAATGGGGTGTGCGAATCCAATCCGTCTTCATGAACATCGTTTTTATGAGATTTAGTCGAAGACCAATCTTTCCACAGGCTTTATGAAAGTCGTTCCTCTTGGCTAGCGTTTGGTGTTATAAGGACGATGCCATCAGCAAAGCGAAGATGGTGTAACTGCCGACCATCGATTTTCACTCCCATATTATCCCATTCTAATGTTCGGATGACGTTCTGGAGGGTGGCGATAAATAATTTTGGAGAGATGGTATCGCCTTGCCTAACTCTTCTTTTGACGTCAATGTTAATATCGTCGTAGAATGGCGATACTTTGGTTGTACAGCTCACGAACAATATTTATGTACTGAGTAGGGACTCCTTGACCATCAAGGGCTTCCAAGACTGCTTCAATCTCAACTAAATCAAAGGCCTTCTGTAAATCGATGAAAGTGGGACAGAGCGGTCTTTTGTACTCCCGCGATACTTCAATGAACCGTGTTACCGTGTGGATGTGATCTATCGTACTAAATCCTGTTCGAAATCCTGCTTGCTCACATGGCTGCCTTTCGTCTAGTGTTCTGTCATTCCTGTTTAGGATGACTCGAGTGAAAAGTTTGTAGACGACAGACAGTGAGCAGATTGGGCGATAGTTGCCGTGTAGGTCACTATTCTTGAACAATAATATGGTCTTGCTGGTCTTCCACTGAGTACGGACCCTGCATTCAGACAGGTAACGTGTAAAGAGCCCAGCCAGTGTGTTTACGAGGGCTGGCGAGGTGCTGTTCGATTTTTCACCGACGAAATGGCATATCGGATTTCGGAAGGCAGAACCGGTGGTGCAACGTATCCATCCTCCTTTATTTCATATGACTGAAGGTAGACGTGGCTATCGAAGAGATCCGAGTAGTATTAGTGAATAATTTTCTCCATTACCTTTCCTGACGCTGTAACCGTTCCGTCTGGGCGCCGGCGTGCGATCATTTTAGTCTTGTAATTTATTAACTCAGCGTTATTGAACGCGCAATCGAAATGGCGATGTTAGGAGTATCCCGTTCCAAACAAGTAAGGGATGGAATCCGAAGCTCCGCTCCGGAAATAAAGGAGGATGGATATGTTGTACTACTGGTTCTCTCTTCCGAAATCCGACATTCCATTTCGTCGATGACAAATTGAACAGCATCAGGTCCGGACAGGATGAGACCAGAACACCTGAAGAATCTTCCACCAGTCCTCGTAAACACTGACTCGACTCTTCACACGTTACCTGTCTGAACGCAAGGTCCTTACTCACTCAGTGGAAGACGAGCAACACCGTGTTATTGTGCAAGAAGGGTGACCAGCACAATATCGGCAACTATCGCCCAATCTGCTGTCTGTCGTCTACAAAGTTTTCACTCGAGTCATCCTAAACAGGATTGATAGAACACTAGACGAAGGACAGCCATGTGAGCAAGCAGGGTTTCGAAGAGGATTTAGTACGATGGATCACATCCACACGGTAACACGGCTCATCGAGGTATTGCGAGAGTACAAAAGACCACTCTGTCTCACTTTCATCGGTTTACAGAAAGCCTTTGATTCAATTGAGATAGAAGCAGTCATGGAAGCTCTTGATAGTGAGTGAGTCCCTACTCAGTACATAAAGATTCTTCGTGAGCTGTACAAAAATTTTACAACCAAGATATTACCATTCTACAACAATATTAACATTGACGTCAAAAGAGGAGTTAGGCGAGGTGATACCATCTCGACAAAATTATTTACCACCACCTTTCAGAACGTCATGCGGACATTGGAATGGGATAATATGGGCGTAAGAATCGGTGGTCGACAGTTACACCATCTTCGCTTTGCTGATGACACCGTCCTTATAACACCAAACATTAGCCAAGCGGTACGTATACTTGACGACTTTGATAAAGCCTATGGGTAGATTGGTCTTCGACTAAATCTCATGAAAACGATGTTCATGAAGAACGGATTGATTTCACATGCTCCATTCACGCTCAACGGAACGAATGTCCCCGAATGTTCCAGTTATATTTATCTAAGTCGGGAAATCAATGTGGTAAACGACCTAGCTCCAGAGCGAGCAGAAGAAAACGAGCGGCTTGGGGAGCTCTCAAGTGCATCGAGGATGTAGTGAAGAGAACAAAGAACACCCGAGCTCGGGGGGCCACCTTTTCGACTTAACGCTACTTCCTGCGTTAACGCATGCGTCAGAAACCTGGTCGCTGCGTGAACAGGATGGAAAATCGCTCAGCGTTATCGAGCGTGCAGTCGAAAGGACGATGCTAGGAGTATCCCGTTCTACCGTTCTACACAAGTAAGAGATGGGTTCCGAATCTCCGATCTGCGTCAACGGTCAAAAATCAAAGATGCCGTTCTGTACGCCAAACAGTCGAAGATAAGGTGGGCCGGACACGTGATGCGTTTGAATGACAACTGATGGTAGAGAGCCGTTAGTGACTGGATTCTACGAGATGTCAAACGTACTGCAGGAAGGCCGCAGACCTAATGGTCAGAGCTCTACCCGAAAACCTTGAAGTGTATGGTCCTCAAAGAGTCCTTAATGCAAGCGGGACGCGCTAGACTACTCTTCCAAGCGGCAGAAAAAAGTGTTAGATTCACAGGCGTCCTCTCGAGTTATTCGCTGATCAATGGGACGACAGTTTATACAGGTGAATGTGACGATTTGTACCTACAATGCACTCTGGTTTGAATCTGAGTCTTCACTAGACGACTTGATCATGCAGGCAAGAAGGATAAGGTGCGATGTCGTGGGATTGGCTAAGACGAGTAGACGTCATCCATTCAACACATCACCGAAGAAGAACTGGAGAAAGTCCGATCGTCTGAGTGTATAATGACAATGAAGACTACTCATGTTGACCCGCATTTCCAGAAGCCCCACTCTCAACGCTGGACGTGTGATTCTTCCAGTGAAGGGCACCGCCATGAAGTAGGCCACATCATAGTATATTCAAAGTTTTTTCAAATTGGTGCCGCTGTCACCATCCTCAAGCAGCTGCTGAACTCACACAGAAATATTCGAAGAGCTTCGTGGACTGTGCATGCGAGGAAAAGAGTAGAATGTAAGAGATGTTCTAATCGGCACAGTAAATATGAGAATGGCTCATACAAGTAAATAGCATGCGAGACATTGACTCGCCTGAGTATGGCTCATCCTTTGGAAGTGCCCTTATTCAAAGGCCAACCGACCATAACTGCATAATTATTAGGTTTTCTGAAAATTGGTGTCGGATTTTAACCTGAATTTCCAAAGTGGCACATCCTATCCCATAATTGACTCTATTAATCAAAATACAAACGACCAGAATCTAGCCATTTTTTTTACTAATCTACTCAGCGACATACAAGTTAATCAATTCCATTTGCTTAAAATTTTGAACTGCTGAACTCGATAAAGTCGCTGATAGGTGATTAGGCCTCTTAGGCTTGGCTTTTGGAGTATTTCTCGCTAAGGACGTTGTTGGGGCGCTTGAAGAAAAGGTCGGTAGGCGAGAGGCCTGGCTAAAATGGTGGATGAAGCGGAGTTTTGTAGCCTACTTCATTCAATTTCTGCAGCTTCGATTGTACCGCCTGTGCCCACATGAAGTAGGATTGATCCGTTACGGTAGACTGGCTTTGGGAAGTTCTGCGGAGCTTCATCGCGGTCCAACATAGTAGTCGGTTGCCACATCGACTTCTTGTCGCACGTCACGTTACAGTTGAGAAACAGGTAATTCTGATTGCTCAAAAGAAGCCTCCACCCTGTACCCGAAAACAGCGATTTCTTTGCTATTCAATTCATGAGGCACACATGTGGAGCTTCTTCCACCACCTGATGTTTTTCAAAGTTCGAAACAGTTGAGAAAGTGCTGGGGTTCACACAATTCCTGAAGACGAGCCGTCTAAGTATTAAAGTACGTAAACCGCACAGTTTCGTCGGATATGGCAAAAGGACGTCCGTGAC